TTTTCTCAATTCTGTTGCAGCAGAGCTCAATGAAAACATTGACTCGGAATGGCTATTCACTGGAAGTCTTTTCATACATTCTGGTCTACGGAATATCCTATACGATAGCACTGCCCGGTTCTATTCACCAGTCTACAACAGCCCACGTTACAAGTGACATTCAGCTAGTCAGTTTGTCAGTAAGTCAGTTAGTCAGATTGGTACAAAGATTAAACTACCGGCCATAAAGCAAGTACTTTTTTTTTTGAAGCACGACGATAGGCCGCTGCTGCACATCAACCTCTTGCTCCTGCCGTACCATGGAATGGCAATGAACTCCATCTATCACCGAGTCAATTCTGGCCGCGCAAAAACCCATTTAGGGCGTCAATGCAATCAATTCCAGAACTGGACTTTAGTGATGAATTCTGTGCACTCTGTCCTTCGTACGTGCGCAGGACTTCGTTTGCTGTTTGATTAGAAACAGCCCCCAAATGAAACGCGATATTATTAGATTCTATTTCAACCCCCTCGCCCGCCATCTTGGATTATCATTCCTCGGTTACATGGGTCGAGTTAAGCGCCTGTAACGGGTGAGCCACGGTCTTCATGAATTTTTGGCATGAAATTTGCAAGCCATGATCAATATTGTCTAATTCTTTTGTCTCCATTTCTGTTTTAATATGTCACTTTCCAGATATTAAACAAATTGAACGGTCATTGCATAGCTACTATGGAACCATTTCGAAATGACGCGTGAGATACATCTATTATTTCAAAAACAGTTTACAGTTTTATCGAGTGTGTCACGTGACCCTTGTTTATTTTCCAATCATCATCTAATATAAATTTCAACTGATAATGCCCTATACCCACTCTGAATCTTTAGCTCATGGAAATATACAGATGGCGATTTATTTTGTACAATTGCAATATTATCATTAGTAGGCTGCATGTCAGTAAGACAATGAATATTACTTTGTTTATGGAAAGCGCGGAGCTTTCAGACGGAACCAAATTACTGAAAGAAAAAGAAATCAAGAAATTTGCTGCGATTGCATACCGACCATGTACCAATGTCATCAACCTACACACATAATTTGCGTCCTTGTAAATTTACATGTACCCTTGACTTACCCTATAGCTTTTTTTAATCAAATGGTCAATGAAGGTGCGTGTTTCTTAAAAAAAAAAAAGCAATTTCATTTCGAAAATGAGATAGGTATGTAATCAAAATTGTCGAATTTCACCATAGTTTTATGTGCTGGCCGTGCTTTTGCGTGCATTTTTGAAATCGTATGCTTTACATGAAACTATGTTCCCCAAATTGTTTAGAGGCGAGGCCAGTGTTGGAGCCGAACTGATTATGAGACAAACACTATTTTCTTGATTGTTTTCGTAAGTAGTTATATTTTACAATATGGTCCGGATATTCAATCCTTCGAATGTAAATTTCTATAAGCCGGTGTTGTTCTGTTTCACAGTTTCGATTTTGGTTGACTCCATGGTCGATTGTGGGGCTAATGACTGACCATTGTCCAATGCTCCATTTGGGCCTTAGCTATTGATTTCTTTGACAGTAATTTATAACCATCCAGATGGGTACTAGTTAACGAATTTCTTTGTTTCTGTGACACCTTTTGAGTATCGAATCTGCGCCACGCTACCACAGATAGATATCATTATGGCTATGGGTTTACGTTTGACGGCATGCGCACTTTGTGTCGTCCGTCCCTCATTTAAGATACAGAATAGTTGTATTTCAATATATGACCCGACATCCGTGTCATTTTAATATATGACCCGGAATCTGGGTCATATTTATATATGACCCGAAATCCGTGTCATATTTATACATGACTCTGGGACATATTTGGCCCGGCGATACTTTTCTGGGTCAAAATGACACATTTGCCGAGGTTTCCGGGTCACGGTCAAAATAATCTGAAAAATTATCCATCTATAGTAAAGGGTCATTTTGACCCTGAAAAGTACCTGGACAAGTATGACCCCCGCCGATTCCGGGTCAAATCTGACCCGGGACTTATAAGAGTGTACAAGAAAATCCAAAACCCTGTATTTTACTGCACTAGAGTGAGGCTTACATGTAGCATGGTTTTCTGAATCAAACGTTTATTATACGGATCAGGCTGATATAGCGCCCCATACCCATTCCGCATGACAGAATAATGTTTGAAATAATAGTGCGCAAAAAGAACTATGATGACTGTACATTGTATACCCTTACCAGGTCTGAATGAGTCAGCACGGAGAAATATCATTGTCGCTGGACACTTAAATAAGATCACTTTGACAATAAATCACAGTACCAATGTCATAGAATAATGTGTATGTTGACGTACGTTGAGCCTTTATAAAATTCTACAAGATAAAATGATTAGGCCTAAGTAAACGCCGTTTATTTCATGTCATATCACATGCGCTCTTTGAGCTAGTCGGTACTATAGCTATATTAATTTGCAAAAAGGGCATGTAATAACAGACAAATATATCCCGCAGATGGTATAGCTCAAAGAATCTTCCCGTGTACATATCCATACCGTGATTAAATTGCTGATTTCGGCCCCTCCTGTCAACACTATCACCCGCCCTTCTGGTGACCGTGTTACACCGCGCGATACAGGAAGCAGAAAGGAGATAGTTCTTCTTTATTTTCCTGTCGCTTTCCTTGCCCCACAAATCATCCAATAATACAGGTCGTGAATAGTGCAGCCAGCCCCGGGCCATGCTTTTTCGGTTATATGCTCGCCCAAGAAATGGGCCCACTAAACGAAGGGGCGGGGCCGCGGCCCCAAAACGGCCGAATCTATTAATTTGCTGGGGAAGGTGAGGGCAGTCGACGCGACTGCACTTTTCTTGATTTTTTTTCTTCTCTTAAATGTCTTATTGACCCCGAGCGATCGGTAACGAATTTTCCCCTTTCGCGCCGTCTTTCGTTCGATTACCTCTTCTCCCTGCACTTGTGACGGAGTGATATGCGTGTTGAAAAAAGTACCGGGTCATGGGGTGTTGATGAGTATGTGTCTTCTCGGTTCACATCTGGAGTCATTTTCTTTTTTGTGAGTGTTTTTTTTTTAATCTGGCGATTGGAACTTATTTTTAAGTTGTCATTTTATATGAAGGAATCATTTGGTATTGCCCATTCGATTTAGGTTATTTTCATATTAAAGACTGGATATCTTTAACTGTTTGGCATTCAACCAATTACATCGAAAACTGCAATAATCTGGATGTCCGTTTCTCATTTTCCCCCCTCTCTTCTCATCTTTGATTTTTAATAAATAAATCTATGACTTAATGAAAGGGCATAATTACTCTCGTCAGATGATTGCTAAACCTACAAAGTCTCATGAGACGACACGAATACTTTTCAGACATTGATTGTACAGGTATTGTGGGAAAAGAGTAACTGACGGCAAACATGCGAATAAAATAAAAACTATTCACGCTACAAAAAAAAAGCGTGCATTGAATTCATATCGCGCATTGATCATCAGTGCAATGATAATAGTGATTGGCCGCATAGACCAAGTCCCTAACTCAATCCTGATCCAGTTAATAAATTATTACATGATCCGTTCCAGACAATGTATCTCCCCCTGGCCGATGTGATCTAACAGCATTACGGAGTGCATCCCGGACTATGGGCAGCCGCGTCGGGCAATAAATTCAATCTTAGCCGTCTACAATCGGCCGGAAATCAAATTGCCGCCGTGATTAAATATCAGGATATTCCATCACACGGGCGATTTGAATGGATGCCAAGGGAAAGCGGATAGAAATAGGCAAATTACGCTGACACTGAATGCAAATGAACGGGAAAAATGATTTACAAATACTTATGCGAGAAATTATAGTAGAAATTCAAGGCAGTGTTGTTTCTGACGTCATATTTTGAAAAATAAACGCCGAAGTTTAACCCAAAGACAGAGTTTATTTTATATTCCTCCAATGATCTTTGGATGAACCGGACCAGCCAGAAAATATTTTCCTTTTATGACGACTATAGCCTGAAGAACTTAAAACGGAAAAAAAACTGTATTATCTTTCGATTTGAATCCTATTTGGCACCTATTTTGCTGCAACACTTTATAGTCGCCGATTGTTTGCTTTATACACCAGTTGGAAACCTTTTTTTACCCTTTAAAAACAAACTGCCGAGTGGATAATGATTGTACCCTGACGTAAATTGATGATGTTTTGTTGGCATGTCATGCAAGTCACCATACTCATCTTCGCGTTTCAAACGGAAATAGTATCTTGACGGTGGCTACTAAAGAACAATATTCAAGTATGGTTGATGAATAAGAGTAATTTTACTGTGAATACTCTTCTTCTTCTTTTTAATATCTTGTAACTCGTATGTTTATATCAGCATGACATATTATAACTGGCCTCAACATTGCACAATATTACTAATATAGGGTTGTGTTGATATCAATATTTTAATACATCAATATGCCCCGCAAATATCAACAACTTTTCAAATGATTTTATGACTAAAGAAAAGGGAATCACTGCGTGATCTGGCAACATTATCGTATTTGATTATTGTTTTAATGTGGATTTGTGTGTGTGATGAATTTCACTTCAATTTTCTCCCATTTTCGTACATTATAGAGACATCGTGGTAAGCCCAAAAAGGGCTCGTTAATTTTGATGTGTGCAGGAAACAGCAATTTCCTATCACTGATTTAAGAACAGATTTTATCAGTGGTAGCCGATAGGCATTTCGTGTGCATTGTGAAAGTATGGCGTTTGTGTACATCGTGCGTTGTATATAATACAGGGTGCATAGTGCGCGTAACATAATTAGCGCGTGAGTGTCTTAGCGAGTTTTTCTACCCAATTTCTCACAACGAATTCTTACACAAGATGGCAAATATTGTGGACATTTAGAGATGCAAAGCCTCGCCCATGCCACACTTGTTCCTGAAAACTGATGAATTAAATCTCTTGGTGATTTGTTTGTTTTCTTTTCGTCGTCTTGGATACTGCAGCCTACCGCAGCGGTCGTTCGCCGTCGTCCCAGCAGTATGGTAGGCCGTCCTTTTTTCCCACTCACATTATTACACTCTTTGCTTATGCCTTCACATTAATTCAGCCATGTAAAATAACAAGCATGAAAAGACAATATTTATTCTTGATCGCTCATTTTTGCTTCGCATTGCTTTCAATCACTTTTTTCTCTCTAAAAAATAATTCACTGCACCAAAACATTGCCTTGTTGTTTCCTAGTGTTTTTGCAAGCTAATGGTAATGTCAAAAACTGTAATACTGGTTGCTTGTGAAATGTATTCCGTGTGCATTTTTAACCCTTCCTGCCTCGTCAGCCAGTGACCCCATTCAGTGATGTTCGATTGTTGTTGCTGTACGTCACTGCAATGTGTAGTTTTGTTGTGATTGTGCATACAGTTTTAACCTGCCAGCCACCTGACTTTGTGTTTTGTTTTTATCTTCATGCACTAGATATCATTGTTATTGTCTCCTTCCTCCATGTTTTCTTTTATTTCTCGAGTTAATTCGTTTTTGTGTGTGCCACGAATGCACTTTTCTTACCTCCACACTCAACAAATACTTCATCTGCCACTTCTGTGACTCCTAAAATCCTTACATTTCAAAGCTTTTTGCCTTTTTTTACATTTTCAAATTTAACCATCACAAGCTGTCATCAGTTCAAGTGTCACTCTTCCTTTCTTAAACAAATTTTGAATGAATATAAATCCATCTATTTACGGATGATCAAATCTTACGCAAATAGAGATATATATAAACAATAACTGGACAAGTGAAATCAGCGGGGTTTTTTTTATCCAAGATTATTCTGAAGGACATATTATAGAGCAAACGAATAGCGCTATTTCATGAAAGTGGTAAGGAGTATTGATATAACTTAACGAACATAACTTAACATTATTAAGTTATGTTCGTTAACGTTCATCAGGTTAAGGAGTCCTCTGAACAGTTTACGCTTCTCTTGAGTAAGTGACCGCGGTGCTTTGGACTCCTTAGTTACTTCTGTTTTTTCCTGCCTCGGATCTTAAAACAAACGCACTTCACTGGATAGGGAACAAAAACAGTGCGGACTTAGAAAATAACACATCCCGATGATTTCGGAAGAAGGGGGGGGGGGGATTTGTACCCTGTCAGGCAACAAAATGTGTAACGTGCCAAAGCGCCTCCGGAAAGTGTCCGGGTGATTACCGAGCGATGGGGGACTCTCAGCGGGCTGAATCCCCGGGGAAAGCCACCTCAAACCCCGGTAGCGGGATCGCTGGCTGCACGCTCGAGCAAAACACACCGCGGTCTCCAATCAACCGTGCATAGGGAATCACTCACATGGCTTGATGGCTCGCGCGAGATAAACGAACAGGGCAAAAGGTTAAAGGGACAGCGTGGGGTGGATGAGGTTTGTTATACCCATCCCTAAAAACATGGTGTCCTGTGCTAATCAGTAGGCCCATTTTAAAAATTTGTTAAAATTACTCGACTTGAGAAAACACACAGAATCTTTACCCACACATACACTTTGCCTTTCATGTTGCTTAATGCAGAGCCTGGTATATTATTTTGTGAAATCATCTTTTTGAGTATCATTTACTTTGAATATTTAGACATTGTCATCAATTTTGTTATTTTATGAATTTTATTTCTGTAGGGAAAAGTTCTGAATCTGACAGACCTCCCTGAAAACATTCAACAACATTCATACTTAAATTTTAAAAAATGGCTTATTCCGACTATACCCGCTTAACGCCACAACATAATCAGTGAAGGTCAGGTACAAGACTGCAGTCATTGACACTGCAGTAATCGTGCAAAATGTTCAGATAGTTTATTTGAATAGGTTACCTGTCGCCGCGGGGATATGTATAAGTTGTTATAAAATAAAGCTTTTCATAACAAATCCAAGTGTCGTACCTCAAGCTTTGATTGTTTTCAATTTTCATATGACATCCATAGCTCGTAAGATATTTCCCCATTTGACAAAAACTCTATTGATCAGTAAAAATTACGCTCCCTGGAAGTCAAAACAACAGCCACCTTTAAGAAATGGGGGAAAGCACCGCGTTTGCCGGAGGCGTTTTTTCGTCAAGTGTAGAGTCAGAGCCCCGGAGCTACACAGCTTGAAAAACACACCTTGCGACTCGGCGCTATTTCGCCCTACCGTGCCGAGACGGCGAAGGGTCCCCTAAGCCTCACGCTGCCTCGCCGCTCCGTATGCTAACCGTGCCGTACCGCGCACGCATGTACACCGCTTAAGGGCAAACTGCATGCATTATTCTTGAGGAATAAACAAAAAATAGTCTGTCCTCATTTCTATTCCCCCTGTTTTATGTCTTTCCGCAAGACCTCGGAAAGGAGCTCTTGTCCTGCATGCAAATGACATTTTAACTTTTGGGGGGTTTCTTTTGTGACAAATTAGATGTGACAATATGTTTTTATGCTATATACGGATCATAAAGTCGGCATGATGGTTTTCGTTTTCGATGATTTTTGTCTAATATTTGCCATGAAAAAAAAAGAACAGACGATTTCTGAAAATATTTATCTTGATATTTCCTTATGGGTTATTCAATAAATTTAGTGTCCACTTCTTTCCTGTCCCTGTTACATCTGACATCTACGATTTTATAATTCTGACGCACTCCTTAATGAAGTCGTCTTCCAAGAGTGATTGTGAATAGCAATCTACCTACCCAACACATTAAGAATCATTGGAAGTCATACTTAATGATACTTGAATGGCAAATAACAAAGTACCAAGGTAACACGGACGGGAAACAAAATGTCATACTTTGGACCCTAATTTTAAAGAATGACCCTTATACATTTCGTTAGTGCAATGTGTGAAAATAAAGTAAAAAAAATATCAGTGAAACAATATTTTGAAAGTTTCATATGCACGGCTTAACATTTTGGATCTCCAATTATTGTTCAAAATTAATATTAAGATGCATGCCTGCATGTTGTACTTAGATTTAAATACGGTTAACGCGGAATGGGAGTTCTTTTCATCATATACCAAATGGAATTTGAAGAAACGAATCCTGTACTTCCCGATATTCTTCATTCATTGATGCACTGTTTTTCCCCCACAGTAGTACAGAGAATCCTGCCCTGTCATGTCAAAACAAAAAGGGGTGAATGCCGAGAAACAACTGTCATTAAGAAAGCACGCTGCTGCAAAACCGTCTACGCATCAGGACCTTTTTTCGCATACAATCTGTCGATCGACAAAGAGAGAATCATCGGCCGTGCTGTCTTGCCAACTTGTATGCCTCACGCTTCACTTAGCTCCCTCACTTTTCCCCCTTACGCGAAAAGGGTCTTGCTTGTATGGCAAGCTGGCACGCTTCCCTTTGTCCCATTGTGTTTCAAAGTCACAACGCCATCTCTCTTCCAAGGTCACGTTCAATTGAAAATGCCGCGGGTTTTTTTCCCCCAGCTCCCTTCTTGCTTGCGCGCTCAGAAAGGACTCACATACACACACAAGAATGATGGTGGGTGAAGTGGAGTTTTTTTTCGCGCGCTCGGTAATGGGGGAGGATGAATGGAGAGGAGATATTTCCTGTTCGATGAAACGAGAGAAAAGAGAAGAGGGGAAATACAGTGATGGTTTGCATCCGCTGCGGATGACAAGAGATGCTATAGAAATGGTCGATATTTCAGTGCAGTTCATTCCAGGACAAAATAAAAGTAAAAAAAAAAAATAATGATAAAAACTGTGGATTTTAATTTCTCAATGCTTGGCTAGAGGTGCTCCTCTTTAAGTATTTGACATACTCGTTGAATACTTGAATTCAATTCTCTCTCGTGATGCATTAAATCCAAGGATTAAAACCTTCCACAAATATAAATAACACGTATTACATCTCAGACACAAGCTTATAACGCAAATTATTAACACTTAAAAACAAAATTACCGGTAATCCGCTAGTGGGGCTGTAATTTGATTTTCAAGATATTTTGTATGATGTATTGTGGACGCATGTCGGTAGAAGCCTATTTTTACTCTTTTCATTCGTTTAACACAAATCATGTGCTCTTGGTAAACAATGCCTGGCATTTCATGCACTCTGACGTCAGGGTACATGACCAATATGGCGCGCGGTTGACGCATGGGCGGATTGGTGCGAAATTCTATACCATATGGACAATTTTTTGCCGAGTATTTTGCTGTCATGCACCGTTTACAATGGTAACAGCATTATGTAGTGCTTTCTCTGTCTGTTGTTTGCATGGACTAATTTAAAGGGACATTCTGTCAGTGTGAATGTCATGTGTTTGTATAGCATGTGCTAAATCTATGCTCTTCCATCACGTTTACTTCCCTTCCTCTTGACATTTCTATTATCAGCCTTTTCCAACTCATTTCACTCCTTTAACCTTGCATGTTCATACGCGTTACTGAGCATCCCATCACTCGAGCATGTTATTCTTCCGCTGCCTTCCGTTTATGCACATCGCATTTCAATGTAAACAGAGTGCTATAATTCGAAGTTTCAAGGACGATGTCAACGGGGAAAATAGCTCAAGTTGGAAAAAAATCGTAAAGGTTGAAGGGGCTAGGTTTTCTCCTTGCTTCTGTCTGAGAGAGTGCCCTTGTTTTGCCTCGACAAAGATTCTGTTAAGACTGTAACGTTGGGCGCTCTAACTTGAAACTAGAGCTTGAAGTCCTTTAGTTGCTTTCAAAAGGTCAACATCATGATCCCTTTATTCAATGTAGGGCCTACATAATAACAGTTGAAAATGAACCTGAATTGTCACCAACCTCGATTGGATGTTATGATTTTTACTCACAAAAATACTGCTTCGGAAATTGTCTTACGAATCATCTGTGAAGCGGCCATAAGCAATTAACATCATTTGGGGCTTGTGGCTCGATATTGCAAAACTTCCGGGTCAGATTTGACATGGAATCTAGGTTTTACTTGACCTGATTCGTTTCAGGGTCATTTTCTGGGTCATATTGAGCATGAAAAAAGGCAAAAGTGTCATGTGGACTCAGGAGAGTGTCATTATGACCCTGAATGTGTCAGGTCAAAATACCACCCGGATTCCGGTTCAATTTCAGACCGGGGACTTTTTAGAGTGTAAGCCAATTTTTGTTCTTAGCAGCTCCACGAAGTTGGCCGTGGAAGTCATTTTGCATTCCATCTTCTTGCCCCCTTTACGCAGCCGGGGTTCCGTACATGCACCGCATTCTCCACGAGGGGGCGACCACCAACGGCCTGCATGAGAAGCGGAAACAGAGGAGGATTCGGACCACCTTCACCAGCGCGCAGCTCAAAGAACTGGAGAAGGCGTTCCAGGAGACCCACTACCCTGACATCTACAAGAGAGAGGAGCTGGCGCTCAAGACCGACCTGACGGAGGCAAGAGTACAGGTGAGTGTGGGTCTACAACAGGGGCGTGGCCAGAACAGTTTGAAGGGGGATGGGCTGGATATCATCTGGATATCATCACTATAGGGCGCTGTTATCTGAGCAGACGATCTGGGACACGATTAGGCACGATTTTGCCTACATGACGACAATTTTGCCGACGAAGTTGATCAGGGAGGGGGTGTATTCATCAGCCCCACTCTCGAGATACGGCAAGAGCAAGTTCGATAAGGGAACCACTGGTTTACCCGTAGTTGTATCATGACGCATGTTGCGCCTGCGCATTATTTCAAAGCTCCAAGTCTATGGTCGAACAACTAAAAGCACTCGATTTCAGTTCAAACAAGTTGTTTTCTTTATATTTCCCATTTATATTCCAAATAGTTTAAGCAGTTTCCCAAGAACGCTTTGTTAAAGCTCCTTTATCGGTCTTTTTTCTACTTTGTTTCTGCAGTCGATCTTTCTTCCCCTATATTTTTCTATTTTCTTTCTCGCTCATCTTCTTTCGCTCCATCAATTTCCTTTTCTTCACGTGTCCCTTAATGGATCTCAGTGTTGTGGTAGTCCCCTCCACCCCTGACGCGCAGTTTTTCTCAAGCATTGTCAGCCGCGATGACGGATTGAGTTTCGTTCTCGCGAGGAAGGGAATCGACTGACTTTTCTCTCTCCACCGCTTTTTACAAATTACCGGTCCTCTCTCTTCTTGCCCATACAAGACCCGCTGTTTGTTTTGTGTCGCAGCGTCCAACAAGATGTGTAGGCGCATGGACTCTTAGAAAACGGCACACACAATCGCGGATGATGGCATTTGCCCATCTTGGCGAGTGTACTGTTTGATTGATTTAGGGCAAAAGCTTTTTTTGCGGCGAGGAAGGGAGAGTGTTTGCCTTTGACGGAGAGACGTGAACTGGGGGAAGTTGCCCGGCCGGTTACCCGTCCCTATAAAAACACAATTTGCGCTCCGGGGAGAAATAGAAAACACGGACTTTGACACCGTTTTAACCGCCGCACAAAACGACACAGTCATTTCTTTTGGTTAAGATAGATTTATTTGTCGTTTCATTTCATCCGATCAAAACAAATGTTTAAATGTCATTCCACACAATTTTTGCAAAGCAATAATTTATAACAATTTTAAGACCGACTTCATACTCAAAGATTAATCAAAACGGTCACATGATAGGTTGTAAAATTGTTATTTTTGGTTGAGGCCTTAAACTATGTATTTCTTGAAGTAAGGAGCACACTTGTGAATCAAAGGTATAGTTTCAGATTTCCTTCGATGAAATTCTATCGTATCTTCATGTGCATTCGAAAGACTTGTCAGTTCTTGTTGCCAAAAATGTTCCTCGTAGTATACGAACCGGGCCATATGAACTTTTTGGGTGAATGCTTCGAAGGCCAGGCGTGTCCATCCTCATCTACGCTGGGGTTTTTCCTTGGTCGTGTATTTTGATATTTTGCGGGCTTTTTTTTCAACTCCCAACGTACGTGACATTCTCCTCGACAGCGACGACGATCGGCCAGAATTCACCGCGATCGTAGTGGGCTTTGATTGCCGCGTAAGGGCCCGCGCTCACGGCCCACTCTGCCGGGACTAGAAATGCCCTTTACACTCCCCAAGCAAAGAGCTGCAATAAGAAAAAGCACTGCAAATCGAAATGGGCTGAGATTTTAATTTCGAAAAGAACACATCTGAGGTGAAAGCCGGGAACCCCTAGAAAGTCGGCAACGCGAACACAATACGCGAATCGTGAGGAGTGTAGACATTGGAGTATATTGATGCGGAGTGGGGAGGAAAATTTAGGGTACGGGAGGTCGAACGACATACGCCTATTACTATCATCTCATGCAATATTGATGGAATCAACAGAATGATTCCCTTCGAAGCTTCACTACCGAAAAACCACTCAACACAAGTATCTAAGCTTAGACAAAACAATCATGCACAAAGACAGATTTCTAATATGTGTTTTTGTGTACAGCGTCGCATGCTAAACGTGCATAGGGTAATCAATAATTATTATTGGCAATTAGAGTTGAGTCTTTCCGCATGTTGCGGAATCGACAGCATTCTGGTTTTTGTTTTAACTTTCCTGTAAGAAATCCCCCCTGCCTACACCCATCCCGCCTGCCGCCCCATGCCTCAGCTCCAACCTTCAGACGTATATGCCGATAGATGCCATGCCTATTTATGTCCCATTAACTACCGATACAACTTATATGACGACTGCGGCGTTTAGGCCCGGCCATTCTTCCGCGTCTTCTCAATTTTTCCACACCAAAGTCGGAAATGAAATAAACATCAATTGGAGGTTTTTCCCTATTGAATGAAAACAACCACATGATTTGATTTGATTTCGCGACCGGTGGGACAAAACACAATGCTTCGCCGGAAGAAAAGTAATTTATGATGCTCTTTTTTTCACCGGGAAAGCGGGAGTCTTTTCCATCTTTTGTTTGGTAGACGACAAAAAAAAAGAGGAAGAAAATATCTTGCCGCCAAAAACAGCCAATCATTTTCCGGCGCGAAATTGAGTTTAAGTGACAAAAGACCCACAATGGTTTCTAAATGAAGCAACGGCTCGCCGTGCGGCGATGCGGTTCTTCTCTAGATTGCTCCCAGAAAATTAACCAGGAAATCAGGACAAACCCCCGTCAGTAATATTATTGTGATGACCACAGTAAAAAAAAAAAAAAAAAAAAAAAAGAGTGAATCACTTTTTTACATTGGCATGGTAATGTCATTAAAACTTGTGCTATTTGAAGTTATTCTGGAGTTTGTTTTTGAATTGACACATAGGTATGGTTTCAGAACCGAAGGGCTAAATTCCGCAAGACGGAGCGAGCCAACACCGCTGCCGCCAATGCAACAAACAACAACAACACTACTACAAACAACAGCAACCGCAACAGCAGCAACAGCAACGACAGCACAACCAACAGCACTACCAACGACACAACGGGTGGCACACAACAGGGTAACCACGGTAGCGGCCAGACGGGTGGGCAGACCACAGCGCAGACGGGGGTGAAGAGCGTAAGCGGCGCCACGCCCACCAAGAAGAGGAAAGGCGATGAAGCCTCGCCGGTTATCACCACAAACGGCAGTGTCTCCACCGCTGCACCCACAGGTACGATGTCACGCGTCATGTCATTGGCTATAAACCTGTACACGTCAATGCGTAATATTTGTTTCGTCTCTTGCCATTTGTTCGACTCTGTCACGTGTCTCTCCTGGATATGCAAAACTGCTTCTCTTTTGTGTGCATTTCTGTGCGCGAAGTAAGTATTTCTTGCAAACCGATATCTAAACGTTTGCAAAAATATTTCGCTTGGAAACCTCACCCTTTTGAGTCGATGAGGCCGCCCGGTGGAAAATTTAAACAGAAGATAGTTAGGCTCACACCCAATGTGGTAAAGTGTGCCATTCACTTTGAGCAACATTTTTTCCATAATTTGGCGAGACTTGGTGTTGGAAAAATTTGCCATCGAAATTTAACTTGGCGTTAGAAAGTTGCACATGCTTTTTAACCAAAATTTCGTACAAGTGAATTGACTAATTCAACAAAACATTCTGAACATTGTAACAGTCATGCATATAATTTGTAAATAAATTATAAAATAATGTCAAGTAATGATCGAAAAGCAAAGAACAAGTAATACAATATTAATTTTCACATTGACTCTCGTTTCTGGCTATGAGATCACAAATTGTAAATGAAGCCTTTAACCAACATGCCGTTTATCATAAATTTTTATAATCCTATCACTGTCTGCCGGCGACCGGCTTAAGAATGTCGAGTGTCCCTAACGGAAAACCGCTCCAAAACATGATTCGCCATTACATTCACAATTACCAGGTTTCAGCCAAATGGATCACCGACCAGAATGCATGTTTGAGAGAGAGAGATACGGAGACGGGGCAAATACCTGCACCAATGATTTGATTTTGTCTCCAGGAACGAAGAGATAGAGGGGGAAAAAAGCTAATAAAACAACCGTGGCGGCGGCCCTGGGGTATACAGCCTACAAGTCATCGTCAAAGGATATGCACTCATATCCCAATCTCCATTAATATAAGTTAGGAGCTATTAGGAATCGTGGCGGTCTCCGGGAAATATTTGATAAGGCGATCGGTAGTAATTGCATAATAAGATTCACCGCGTGCAATGCAGCGCGCGGGACCCAGCGGAGAACGGGACACAAGTATACCGGGGAGATGAGTCAAACCGTACGGTAGAGATGACCCCAGCAGAACACGCTGTCTGTGTGTAAGGCCAGCTTGATTACTGCCGGCTGCCTGGCGCTACGGGGGAAAAGAAATAGCATTACTCAGACACCGGCACTTAAATATTTGTCCGGCGGATATTAAAATATCAAGGTCTCCAAATTCTTATTTTGACCATTGAGAATTCACGAATCTTAAACGTCCCCAAATTATTTTCCATCCCATTGAATGTGGGTTGTTTTTTTAATAAGATATACAACCAAACAAATTTACTACGGTATAATACCTTGTCCAACAACTGTATCAGTAAATTCAAATTGTTTTCATATGCCTAAAACAATAGGGTTCTTAAAAACACTACAAACAACAAATTAATAGGGAAATTTGTTTTTTTAATTAAAGCCTCCTCACACTCAATGAAAAGTTCAGAAAATATCGAAAATGTTCTTGATTTCAGCTAAATTTCAAAACCTGGTTCCTCGTTAAAAATACAAACGTCCGAAACCGCTGTCCTCAATGCTGGCATTTGTTTATAAATCACTATAGTGTTGCCCAAAATCGATCAGATTCATTCCTTTACAATGAAATTTGCTGGGTCTTTTTTCCCCAAGAGGAACGATCATAATTCTTAACCGAATTATACATTTTCTCAGGGAGAGAGAGAAAATACAAATTGAATACCTTTTATTTTCGAACGCACCTATACGCGTTTTCTTTGTACGATACCTGAGCATAAAAAAATATTGCAAATTGCATACACATTTACCGCAATATCGCTCTCAGCTTTTATCAAATTTGAAATTATTTCCAGCGCGAGCGAAGATTTTCCCCCCTCTTGTTGAGTGCGCGTGTGCTTCGACCCAAACAATAACTCAGCCAGAAACGGCTTTAAAAAATCAGCCGGAAATATCGAAGCTTTCCACAACAAGAGCCTCGCATGAAGCATATATAGGGGCTGATTCCTGCTACACAAATGGAGCTAGGATTCGATTATAAAGCACGGCATATAGCACTAGAACCTCTTTCTAATTTATTTTTTCATGTCAAACGTAAAGTATATGGAACCCGCAGATGCAATTATCCATGCGAAGTGCAGCGTGTGAACACTGCCCCATCCCCCCCCCCCTTCCCCTGGTTTTTAAAAAGGACTGTGCCATAGAAAAATGGAGGCTGTGTGAAAAATCGGAGGGCTCCTGAAACTGGTGAAAGATGACTTGTAAAGGAGATTGAAATGAACGAGATGTATCACAGCTATATAGATTCAGTTCAATTCAATATGAAAATTCATTTCCATTAGCCAATTTTTTTCCCCGGTAAAACAATGTCATCACTATGCATGTAGAAGTAATAGATAATGATAGAAGAGATTAGAATTCGGAAAAGATAAAATACATTAAAATTAAAGATTTAGTGTATACACTCGGCACAAAACCTTTAAAGATGATTTCAAATCAAATCATAGACCCCTTGCAATTGACGTCACTTTGAGGGCAGGTCTTTGTTCATCTGTGATAGGCATGAGTAGACACTTTCTACTTGCATTGTCACTGAATGTAAATAACAAAAGCTGCCCTCAGTGAGGGTGGACTGTGCAAGGTGTCTATTGCACTACATCATCCTTATAGTATAAAATGATGAACGGATTGCACCAATATTGTTGCATGCCGCTGTTGGAAACCAGGGTAACGTGTAACATTACGAAAACATTAGACGCAGTTCAAATGTCACTTGATTACATCCATTCACGGACGCGCATCTATCCATCCGATCATCGTCGTTTTCATGTTTCCTTCTTTTTCCCCTGTCCGTGATTATTCCCCCACTAAAAAAACCCGGAGCCGCAAATTCATTACATTATTACGGTCGTAATTTATTACCGTGCCGATCAACTGTAAGGCGGCGGGCCTCTCGCACGCACACGGCCCGGCGTCGAGCGTGCCTCGCCCGCTATACGGCGCGGTCGAGCTGATACCCGTAGCATTTAACCCCTTAATGACGATGCTCACAACATGCTTTGTGATCAAGGAAGCCAAAGAATTTCCGATTGCATGCACAAGATGACTTCTCAAACTAATGCATGTTGAGGTGACATATTTTGTCATTTTCTTGAAATTTGTTCCAATGGGTAACCCTGCCCGCAGTTTGATCGAGTATACAACAGTATACTCATCCATATCAGATTAGTTTGTTTGCAAAGTTATTAAAGGCACATTTCATGTTTCTCAGTTTTCTTGATATTTAATTTGAGCACAGAATTTGTTAATTAAAATGTTTAATTCCCGGCAATGTGTTTGAAAAATCTACAAATTTCGAAGAGGGTTTTTTTCGCGGAAGGACTAAATTCACTTAAACTTTCGAGATCGCGTGTTGCATAAAATATCAAACTTTACTCTACAAGAATGCACATTTTTTTCCTCTCGGAATTCCGATCCTGCTGTACTCTCTAATTAATTCCTTCGTCTCGTCTTATCTAACGGATTATAAACAGTCCCGAACAAATCCAGCGCTTCAAGAAATATTGTCCCGTAAAATCGCTTACACGGCCACTTGCACAAAGTCCCAGGCAGGCTTTAAGTATTAAGAATTGATAAGCCTTGTCACTACTGTTTTTTCCCCGCGCTTTTCAATTCCCCCAACGTCCTGTGTAGCGCCGTAAGGATTATCCGTATTTGCCACGCATGACCCATTTTTGTCTTCGGATTTCATCACAATATTCTCTGTTTGTTTTTGTTGTTTTTTCTGGAATAATATCTTGGGTCTTGAGGTTTTTCCTCACAAGTCTTGGTATTAATTTGAGACATGTTTGCACTTCCTTCCGCGCCATTAATTTTGTGCGATACTCCACTGAAGAGTAGGGCGAAGAGTTGTGGCAGGCGCGCATGTTTTGGAGAATTGATTTTCAAGGGCAAGCAACCATCCGGCAGAGGGCGGTGTATACGTTAAATGGAGCACTTCGTGCATACTGGACGATTTCACGATGGTATCCCTAAGGATGTGAAAATCATCGTATTGTTGCATTTTTCGTTCCAAGGTGCAAACATGACATTTAATCACCAACGAATTATTATTGGGTTCAATGCAAAGTATGGGTTGGCTACGCAGTTTGACGTCCAATAGATCATTTGCACAAGCGCTGAGGATAATTATGTATGATTGATCAAACTCAGTGACAGTTGAACTACAAAGTGTCTACGCATGCGTTTCACAGAGCAAAGACCTGTCTTCTGTGAGGGCGCTCTATGCAGGAGGTCAATATTTTTGTTTGTGCTTTATTTCAGTCAGGCATACTGATTTTAGTGACTCAATAAAACGGAAATGGTACATTTTTATATTTTTCCTCCTTGTGGTTTCCAGGTTTAACCAGCACACCTAGCGGGGTCAGCACCACCACTCCCCTGACCACGCCCTGGACTGGCACCACGTCCACCACCCAGGCAATCCACGGTCCCTACTCCACAATCTTCCCGACTCTGCCTCATGTAAGTCACGCTCAGATCAAGTCCTCGCACATGAAGGGACCGTCTCACCCCTCGCTATTTCCCCTCAACTATTGACTGCTCTCACCTGGATCTGATAGGCCGCATTGAGGACACCTCCAATAGAACACACGAAGGGACCGTTTCGCTTCTCGCTATCCCCCTCAACTATTGACTGCTCTCTTCTAGGTCAGATAGGCCGCATACGCGCACCGAGGACACCTCCGGATAGAGCACACGAAGGGACCGTCCCACGCCTCGCTATTCCCCTAAAACTAATTGACTGCTATCTTCCGGGTCTGATAGGCCACATTTAGGGCAACTCTACGTCATACCGACAGGCAACCAAAACACTTAAGCATCTTTTGCGGGTTATCTTGCCTATATTAAACAGTTTGTGTCGACACTTTCAACCACTCATATTTAAAGAGATATGCATGGAGTGCAGAAGAGAACAGTTAGCCGGATGGAGGTATCACGTGACCACAACATCCAATTCTGTGTAAACCGAAAGGACTACATAGCCGCCATCTTGTGTATGAAGTCGATATAAGCCATTTTGTGAATGGCTGTTTTGGTACTGTAACATCTCATAGGCCTAAGCCCTTTCTATCTTCAGATAGCTCGTCTTCATCTGCACTTCAAATAGCGGTAATAAAACATGTTCTGTCAGTAGCGGACAAAATCATCGCTTTCATCAACTCGGTGATGGAAAATAGGTCTGGAGCCCAGACATTTCTTTACCCTGCGTGTATCAACATGCGGTAACTTGTGGTGTGCAGGACGAGTATACTGTACAGAGGAGGGTGACGCAATTAAACGTCGATTTTATCTACCTTCAATAGTTATTTTGTATAAATAGAGGTAAATACTTTGTGCAATGTTACCATTTAAAAACAATCCAGGTTGTTCCGTTTTACTTTATTATGTTTTAAGTTAACACTCACACAAACTTGCCAAAAAAGTACTTATTTGTTTCAAACAGTGCCAAAAATGTGAAATATCTATAGGAACTTAGAAAATGTGTACCTCGTAGTTAGATTCATGTTTCGTTTGATATGATGCGATTCAGTTCACGCAAACTGCACTCTTTCTTGCATACAGATACAAATTTTCAGCACTTCATGTGGTATAGCCGTTTAAAAAAAAGAAGTACACTAAATATGGGTAAACAAAAATATCCAAAGTCATTGGGAAAAAAGTCTTTTTAGTTCGAATTGAAAAATCAGCAACTTGAAATTTTGATTTGCTTTTTTTGTTTTGGGTTTTTAGCTAAGTGTTTGCTAAGAAAATTAAGCTTTTAGATTTGTTATTTATCATTTTCATTATGAGGTCAATGATATATGATGACAGTCTATGGCCTGGTACTGTGATGTATAAACAGTGCGAAAAGTCCTTATGATTTATATCAAAATTTTATTTTATCAAAATTTATATCAACTTAATCGTTGAAAAGCCATAGTAAATCTATTCGCTATGGATAATCGCACTACTTGCCAAAATTGCTGAAGCTTTATCCCCCACAGTAGGGGAGTCACGTGATATTACGTTGTAATGTCTAGCCAATCGGCTTCTCTGTACAGAAACATTTGATGGAGCGAACCGTGTAAAGAAAGTCTCCAGAGGGATACTGAAATCGACAATGCAAAAATGATCGACTGTAATTGACAACAAGGTTTTTCCAAAGTACGTATAGGATCTGACACTCGCTCAACTTTCATTTTACTTTGACGTAAGGTGTTTCGGGAGAAACATCATTTTAAAAACCAGAGGTTTCTTGTTATTCCAGAATTGCCATAGACTTTTTCAGAGAGTGTTTTGGAAAGTGGTTATGTCATCCCCCGGCCTCGGAGTCTTCACACTGCCCGCGGTGCTCCAACCGGCCCGATCAGATTGACATATAATGAATTTTAATTGGACAGTTCATTCAACTCGCTTTGAAACTACACCTTTAATCCTCGGGCGTCCAAGACCCTACGGCGCAGCACTTTAGCCGCTGATTAAAAAAAAATACAAGTGGCAACGACCGAGGAATCATGGCTGTTGTCTCAACTCCGCTTTGATATATCCTGCCATTTTTCTTTTCACTGGATATCGGGCTTTGTTGATTTTATTTATCGAAATTTGCTTGTAATTTTTCATGATAGTTTTAATAACCTTTGACAACGCGAGTGTGGTTGACGAAATATGACCAAAAAATATGAAAAAGATATTTGTTTTCCGACCGTTTATACAAGAATAACAATACATTGCAAAATAGATGGAGTGTGTACATTGCACCATTGCATCAATGGTGAAAGTTTCTTTTTCCGTGGTATTATGGAAGATATAGTCGATCGGCAGTGTGAATTTCTGTAACCTACTCATATGTTTTTTATAAAATGACTGCAAGAAGTTAACAAGTTCGAAAGTATACGGCGTAAGGTTCTGGCCTCAATGCACATGCATGGGTGGGTTGTAGTAAAGTTTTCACCAGACGCAGCCTTTACATGAAATTCATAGGCAATTGAAATATGGGTACACTAACCAAAATGAAGTCCTTAGGCTAATGGATTAATTTCAAGTGGTATTTTCATATTTATCAGGGATTTTTTGTTGTTGTCTAGGGAGATGACAACCATATCGGATGTTGGAGTCAATTTAGCTTAAAATGGACCTTGGGGATACGCAGTGTATCGGATGATGATCGCTGCTGAGTGATATCAGATCCTGTGTTGTTTAAGAGAGTTGCACTTGGGCACTGATACTTTTCACTTTAGGGTGAGAGGGTGCCATTCAATTTCACCTTTTTGTGGCCTACCTTTGTATTTTATGTTTTGATATAATCTGCTTCTTATACATGGACATTTACTGTAAAACAATCTATAGCACTGCATAATTTACACCCATGGACAAGTCTTTTGCTGAGTGAGACCGTCAAATTGAGCTAGTTCAGCATGCTCATCACGACAGTCGTACCACATCCACAGCTGTATCACATGCCCGCGTTTTACACACCGACCCGTACAAATGAGTATTCATTGATACGGCAGATTTGTATCGCACGACTCGAGTATATTAGGAATCTTTAAAGAAGGAGTTTATCATTCTGATGTAATGAACAAACTGTCCAGCGGCGATTTTCTCGCTGAGTGTATGCAATCCCCGTAACCCAACACGCCGAGCTAGCCTTCGCGCCATTATCGTCCCGGCACAATGAGACATTGAACCGGCCCGTGTCGACTGCCAATATGCAGACGATACGAGACTCCGTGTGTTATTTTGCTCCTTCTTCGTGCGATTTTCCCGCCAAAATGTATCCACCGGCGATTTGTGTATTTTTCCTGCCATGGAGACCGAAAATTGCCGAGACACGCAGTCAATTGATCCACTGACTTAAGGGCTAGTAAATTAAGGTAATGAAGTTTGGCGGTGATGAGCCGCTAAATTGCCGGCGGGGGGAACATTGTACATTTATTTCATTTGATTTCCATGTTCATTTTCTGCACCTTTTTCTACACTCGCAGTTTATTAATAATAATACAACTAAGAAAAAAGCTCGGGGACATTACGTGCAATGTGAAGTATGATTAAGTGATTTTGATGCGATGTTATTCATTTTACTAAAACAGAAGCCACGGGTTATTTCAGGGGTAAAATGGCCGCATTAGGCCTATATGACATTCAAAAGTTGATGTAAATATCAAAATGAGCTTTAGGATTTTTTTTTTATTTTGTTGAAAAAATAAATATTATCTAAAACAAATATTGTGGGCCATGTGTAGGTTTATTGATTAATGTAAAACGGAACTACTTTTGCTGAGTGCACATTGTGTTGGCCCATGGTAAGTCTAGAAAGATGGAAAATGTATCACGTGATGAGACAAAACATCAACCAGAGTGTTCCGGATTTCTCTGTGCAATGGGTCAATGATTAGTAACTACATTCGATACATGGGGACATTGTAAAGATTTTTCGTCTGCACCAAATATTTGTTAACTTTTATAACTCCAAACTTGTTCCGAATTTTGTGTTTATCGCCATACAATAGTGTGGCAAATACAGTTATTGTGTGCTTAACCCATCCACTGCATTATTTGTATATAATTCGTACGTTTGAGGGTTAATTAAAAAAACGTGTACCATAGGATGATGTATAATTAGACTGGTTGAAGTTTGTGCTGATGGATCTGACAATTTTTGCAGATTTTAGAGATGTTTTAAAAGTTCTGTTCATTTTGGGTCAAATTGCAAGACGATGTGACATAATTTATGTGATTGATTAAAAACCAACAATGCATTCGTGCAATTGGCACCAGCATCAACTTTGTGTGAACGTATTTTTCTTCAAACTTGCAGTTGTTGTTTTCTTGTTCAATTTGATATAGGGGTATTTTCAAATAGGGGTATTTTGTTGCATATCGTGCATGCAGGCCCGTCGCCAGCCCTGAGCATCGGGGGGGGGGGGGGCATATATCAACTAGGGGGGCCCGCTACCATAAAAAAAACAACAACAACATATGTATGGCTTTTGCCGTTGGGGGCAAAGTGCTCGCGATCGCCAAGGGGGGCCCGGCCCCACAAGGCCCCCCTTCCTTGTCGACGGGCCTGCGTGCATGGTGTCAACAAAAGCATTATTGTTTTAATCCGTTAACCCGTGATCACGCCTCAGACTTACCTTTGTTGCATGTGCATAGTTCTCTAAAAAGGTACAGCGGAGGGCCAGGGGAGGAGCAGATTTCGTGAAGTCGTCGACCAAGTTTTTGTTAGTAGTCGTAGAATAGAGCGCCCTCATGCAGGAACAAAGTGTTCATGACCGATTACCGCCAAAAACTCTGTAACTTTAAATAGGGGTCCTACTAAAGCGCGTCAACAAGCGTCAACAAGCCTCAACAAGCCTCAACGGTCGTCAACGAGCATCAACAAATTTTGTATAGGCTTTTGAATATTAAAAACAGCTTTATATGGTAGAAAAAGCAATAAAGAACATCTTCTGCATATCAATTAAAGTTAAAATTATTTTAAAACTTGGTTTTTTGAATGCGAAATGTACGACGAATTTGTCGATAAAAGTTGGCCGCCATCTTGTTTATGTGTAGCTAGCCGTACTACGCATGGGTGAAGTGTACAGAGCCATACTACGCATGCGCGAAGTCTACAGCGCCATCCAAACAAGATGGCGGCCAACTTTTATCGACAAATTCGTCGTACATTTCGCGTTCAAAAAAACAAGTTTTAAAATAATTTTAACTTAAATTGATATGCAGAAGATGTTCTTTATTGCTTTTTCTACCATATCAAGCTGTTTTTAATGTTCAAAAGCCTATACAAAATGTGTTGACGCTCGTTGACGACCTTGAGGCTTGTTGACGCTTGTTGACGCTTGTTGACGCGCTTTAGTAGGACCGGTAAAGGGCGACCTCTAAAGTCTGAAGAAGTCCATGTGCACTCGGGTATCAGACTATTACACAGCTTGATGACGCGTATATATCGCGTCTAGTACCTTACTACTACATGGGCGTGTAGAATACAAAGATAAGACTGTAGTAGAGAACTTCTTTTCGTAACATATTGGACAAGACAACGGTAATAATTTCTTCATCGGGTAACTTCAGCTTGAGGTAAAAGGCTGCAATTGCAAAAGACTGAGAAGACGTATGTTCTATTAAATTTAAATAATATTTATTATTATTATGAAGGCGATCGTGTAGGCCTAGTTGGGCTAGCTTTAGTAACTCCAGCTCTAATGCGATAGGCATTAGAGCTGGAGTTACTGTTACTCTCTGTCTAGCTCTACTGAGTGGATCGTTGAACTACAAACCGTACAAACGCTCCACCGATTTGGCATACTTTGGTGACAGGTACACGGTCGACATGACGGTATGCATTTTGTGCATGCCCTTGCGAGGACAAAAGGCCCCCAAAAAACTTATAAAGAGAATACAAATGAGAAAGACAGACAGTAACCTAGCCCCATAAATGTGGCCTATTTACTGGACTGCCTCCGTAAACATAGGCCACACATCCACATGTACAAAAATCGTGTCGACTTTGCCAAATTTTGATTTTCACATTTAGGCTTAGTTTGTAGGGTTTTTTTGCTTTAGAAGCATACTCACCCTCTATAAAGGCTAATCAGAAAGTGCTGCCTTTTTCAGATGTCTAATTTTTGTGAAATTCATGTTGAAATTTTGATACGCAAACGTGTGTAAAAATGAATCTGGAAATTTCACGAAAAATATACATCTGAAAAAGGCAGCACTTTCTGATTAGCCTTTAGAGAGGGTGAGTATGCTTCTAAAGCAAAAAAAACCTACAAACTAAGCCTAAATGTGAAAATCAAAATTTGGCAAAGTCGACACGATTTTTGTACATGTGGATGTGTGGCCTATGTTTACGGAGGCAGTCCAGTAAATAGGCCACATTTATGGGGCTAACAGTAACCCTGGATAGATCCACACATTCATGACATTCCACAAGACCCCTTATATTGTTCCCAAACAGCGGACATTTTGAGAAAAAAAAACCAGCAAAATAGTCAGAAAACTTACAGCTCCCTTCGTCCCAAATTAATGTATGGGTTTTTTTGGGGGGGCGGTTAGTTTGTTCATTGAGCTATTAATTATGGTTTGTTACAGCTGCTTTGCATTGACTCAACTTATAAACTCCAATATTCATCTGTTTTATTTTTGATAGATTTTAAGTATATTGTGCAATATGAGGCTTGTGATACTGGATGACTATGACGAGGCCAGTCATTGGGCAGCCAAGTATGTACGCAATCGTATCCTGGAGTTCAACCCTGGACCTGACAAGTACTTCACACTGGGGCTTCCAACAGGTTGGTGTAAAACAACACACCTCAGACTCAGAGTTGTAATCGTGTTGGTCACAAGTCATCACAAGTCATCACAAGTCAGTCACAAGGCATGCAGTCTCAAGACCAAGTCGCACTCTGGTCAAGTGAGCTGTGACATAGACATGCCTTTGTCATTGGGATAAATTTGTGACCTGACTTGTGCATTGACCTAAGACATGACTTGTGATTGACTCGATTACAAGTCTGGCACTTCCTCAAGCTTGACCCAATCTGCAAACCAGTGTTATGGTGGATCACAAAACTTACATCGCAAGTCAATTAACAAAGTCCAGTCACAAGGAACAGGGGATGAACAGAAGAATGCCTTTGTCAAAGTGCACTGGAATAGCTCATGAGTTGACTTGGGATTGAATGACTTGTGATGGACTTGTGATGACTTATTATCCTTCCCAAGTACACCTCGCCTGCAACACTGCTGTAAATATCAGAATGAAAAATCAGTCAAGTTGTGTTGACTGGTTAGAGTGTGTGTTTAGGGCTTGACACTGGTGTGTTTTGAACCAGCTGTGTCAGTCCATCCAAGATATATGTAATCTGGACTGAATTTGACAGGTCTAAAATGTACATTTGTCATTTTTGTTTCATCACAGGAGGCACCCCAGAGGGTATGTACAGAAAGCTGATAGAGTTCCACAAGGAGGGAGGCCTGTCCTTTCAGTATGTCAAGACATTCAATATGGATGAGTATGTAGGTATGTTACGCTATGACATTTAAATCTGGCCTGTTTTGCTGGTCCCAGAGGGCCAGCCTAGTGTCATATTTATACTGTGCCTATCTCACTGGCTGACTAACTCAGGCTATGTCTGAATTACTCGGCTGTGGCTTGAAGTTACACACAAGTCTATCATAGCGGCTGCAGCCACTTCACATAGACTCGTGTACAATTTCAACCCGTAGCCAAGTTATTTGGACACGACCTTACATTCATGTGACGTAGACTGTTGGAGGCTAGTGAAGAGAGCCAGCAGTGCTATCGTATAGGATTACCCTGAAACGTCAATGAATGGATTAGATGTAGCCCATTGTGTAGACTAAGTGCATGCAAAAACTAGGCTGCCTTTTTTGGTTCCACTGTGACAGCCGCCTGGTGCATAAAATGCCCAATAACTGTAGAAATTGCCCATTCAAATATTTGTTTTCCCATATTTGGGAGTGGGTTTACAAGTTGAGAAAGAAATGGTTGAATACGTTGAATATATGCCAGATCATACTGCCTGTCACATGTGCAGGAAGTCATGCTGTAATTCATTCACCTGAATTCATACAGTATTGATGATATGGTAGTTTAATTGCACTTAAACAGAAACACATGATTCCATGACAATATTCAGTTGGCTTGTTTTCTTCCCAAAGTCTGTCAAAATATTGTACCTGGTTTCAGGACCACATATTGTCAAATAGGGGGGGGGGGGGGGAGAGTCCCTATGAACAAAAAAAAAAAACCTCAATTTGGTTGTTTTGTTTTTTAAATTCGTCATTTCGAAATGCACAGTGTTGAATTTTAAAGACTCGGGAAGCCTTCTTCACAAAATGTCTTAGAAGTTTGGATTAATGAAAAATGAAAAAAATTGTGAACATTTTTCATTTCTCTGATTATGCACGTAAATGACAGGCCTACCCCGAGACCACCCAGAGAGCTACCATTCCTTCATGTGGAATAAGTTCTTCAAGCACATCGACATCTTGCCTGAGAATGCACACATTCTGGACGGAAATGCTGAAGACTTGGACAAAGAGTGCGAAAGATATGAAGAGGAGATCAAACAGGCTGGTGGAGTCGAATTATTTATAGGAGGTAAATTTTAGAATAGTTAGTTTGATTTTTCTTTCACAGGTTGTGCGCAATTTACCAAAAAAAATTAAAACCATCTCTAAAATTCAAATTGTAGTTGAAATCTTCTTGTAAAAATGGGAATTTCAAGGATTGCTCTTGTAGGTTTACTCATTGGGATAATTGATTTAATCTCATTGTCTTCAAATATGTATATAATTGGATTGTTGAATGAAATGGGAGTTATTTCCTGCTCAAACTAGTGGTGTCAGTGTTTCATCATCCATTTTACTTTTTTGTTACCATCAGGTATCGGTCCCGACGGTCATATAGCCTTCAACGAGCCCGGCTCTAGTCTGGTGTCTAGGACACGAATCAAGTCCTTAGCGCACGACACCATCATTGCCAATGCGAGGTTCTTCGACGGAGACATCTCCAAAGTGCCGACTAGTGCGCTGACTGTGGGTGTCGGTACGGTCATGGACGCAAGAGAGGTGAGGAGGGTCTTGCGCATGTTTATTTTCACAGGATTAGGGATGGCAACGTATGATTTGACGGATTATAGAGATTCAACTGAGATCTCTCAAAATGAGAGTACTTTGTATGGGAGAGTTAGGAGTTTGTGACTAATGATCAGAGTTATAGGTTTAATCCATCTGTTGTGTCCTTGGGCACACCACTTTACCCCAACTTGATTGCCTTTCTCAACCCCGGAGTATAGATGGTTACAGATATTAGCTGGGAAGTAACCTGTGATAGACTTGCATCCAATCCAGGGGAAAATTTAAATATATTTAAATCTGTGGCCAGATTAGTGTTGTTAAAATCCATGATTCAAAAATAAAATAGAATATAAAAAATCAGACTAATTTGAGTTAAGTCAGATTTTTTTGTTTAACTTTTTGCATGTGGTGAGCCAAAGGTCAAAATGGCGCCGATTGGAGACAATGAGTGGATGTATCAACTCACACGTCATAGCGCATTGTTCTAATTCCATATATGTAAAGCAACTGATTTTGTACTCAAACAATTAAATTCAACAACCTTGCTCAGGATGAGCATTGTGATTTTTGGTGGTTGTAAACGTCCAAACTTTTGTATTGCAATTGAAATGTTAGAAATGACTTGAACCAGTCAACCCAGTTGGTATTCTTTCTTTTCGTCCTATCAGGTCATGATAATCATCACTGGTGCCCACAAGGCCTTTGCCTTATACAAGGCAGTGGAGGAAGGCGTCAGCCACATGTGGACCGTCTCGGCCTTCCAGCAGCATCCCAAGGCCATCTTCATCTGCGATGAAGACGCCACGTTGGAACTGAGAGTCAAGACTGTCAAATATTTCAAGGGGCTCATGGAAGTCCACGACAAACTTGTCCAGTCTTCCCATGAACAGTCGGCAAAGAGACAAAAACTTAAATGAGAGAGGCTTCAATTTCTAGGAAATTTTTCCAAATAAAGTAGCTTTGTTAAAGAGAAAGGCCCATTGGAAGCCTTTTGAAAACTAGAAGGAAAATGGCTAAAAATATCAAGAGGATATGAAAGTATTTCTATAATAGCTTCAAACCACAGCATTACTTGCCATTACTTCCATTGTAAAACTAAATACGGTATTGACAAAATAGATCGTAGTTAAATATAAGGCAGTGTGTGCTCATACAGCCGTCCGTTTTGCACATCGGGGAAGGGTTTTGTATTTGATCTGAAATTACAGAGCATTTTCATCTACAAGATTGAAAATTTGTTTATATGATAGAAAATTATTTTGAAAGTTGTATGCAATTATTGTCATTCACTTAAGTAGGTGTTTATTTTGTATATCCCTTCAAGTCAAAACCTTTTACTTTATGATTCTGTGAATGGTTTATGGATGAAGATTCATAATAATTTTGAGATAAACAGGTACATTTTTCTTTGAAATTCCATCGACCTTTCTCATTGTGACTCGTAATGTGTGTAGATTGTCTCCTAATTGTGGAATTCAGTTCTGCCAGTTGTCTACCTACAAGATGTCATTGCACTTGCCATAAAGCCATACTTAAAGCTAAAGCCATCCTGTTAAATTGTGACTTGCATTGTACATGTGGTATGTTAACATTTTTACTAATCATGACCTTTTTATCAAACATTGTGGCCTAATCATTCGACAAGGTGGGTGTAACTGTTTTTGCAAATGAATGTGTACTTTTCAAATTGCCATTGTTATAGATGATTGACGTTAAGTATCAGTGCCCAGAAAATGGTGGAGCCTGAAAAGGAACAGTATTTATCATAAAGACATTTATTGCTTGATCATCAGTACTTTTGTCACATAATCTTCCAAGTGCTTGTAACCATGAATATAAGAAATAAAAGAAAGAAATGCATATAACATATCTGCTCTTTTCTGCAATTTTTTTTAAAACGTCATCGTTTGAAACACAATTTTACCAAATTTGACTTTGCATTTAAATAAGTTGAAGACTTTTTTCAACAGATAGGCTAAAATTTAATTTTTGTTAAATATTAATGTCAGTAAATGTAATACCTTTACTTTATCCTTAGATTTTTAAAGAAGGAAATAAAAACTATACAGATATATATACAGATTGTTGCCAAAATTTAAACAAAAAAGGGGGGCTGTGGGGAGAGTGAACAGAAACTTCAGTTTTAAATTTGAAAAGAAAGCTGTTATAAAATCCTTACTTTTAGTTATCCCCAACCCCGGAATAGCCCTTTATTTTACATAATCCCAATACATGTAAATAGTAGGCCCTAATCTTTTTAACTGTCAATGCACATAGATCCAGCAAGATATTTCTATCATTGAACAATAGCAGGCAAGGTATCCTGAGGAAAATGAAAATAACTTTTTGTATCTCTCATAATATCGCCCTCTCGCGGCGACTGAAACATGAAGTGTGCCCCTTTAAATGTCAAATTTTGGATTGCGCGCTCCTCTAAAATTACCCATAGTTCCCCTCAATCATACCGGTGAAAAAAATGGCCGAAGAAGACGAAGAACAATGGTTGTATGGAGGTAAGATTTGGCTCTAGCTTTCTCATCTTGTACTTTTATTTTGTTGTAATATGATGGACATGATATTGTGATTATTGTATTTATTTGTGTGAAGCTCCATGTGAAAATGGGAGCCTGTTGATCGGAAATAATTAGGCAAAACGTTGGTGAGCGTGCACGCGTGATTACTTGCGTTGCTGCATACCGGGTAAATGGTACAGGCGTGTAATTCCGACATCAATCCCGTCAATGACTGGGCGGGCGATCATGTAGTTACGGGCCCGGTTTAAAAGAGAACAAAATCCACTTTAGATATATTTGACTTACCTGTTACCAAACTAGTTGGGAACATTAAGAATATGCAGGTAGGCCTAGGCTATTATTTAATTGAAATTAAGAGGAAATTTTGGAATTTTTTAGGGAAATTTTGGGTTAAAAATAAAAGAATGATGACGACCTCAAAAAGCAACACGAAAATAAAGATGGTGATCACCGCGATGTACCGTGAACGTGCAGGGAGCACTGAATCGCACTGCACCAACCGTAAACCGCGTGGGAAAATCGTAATTTCTATCCCAAGAAACTTTTCAAAATTACAAAAAAGGTGTCATTAGATTTAAAATTGAGAGAAGTCTGCTTTGGGTTGAAAAGGTAATTTTTGAAGATAAAAAACACCAACTTTTTTTTATCTGTCAAAGTGTCATATTATGTGAAATGAAATGTTTTTAACTGATACATTTGGTCACGTTGGTGGAGTTTATATCAATTTTGCTCAATATTCTTAAAAATGCAGCTGTCAAATTTATTCATCGTTTTAATTTAAAGAAATTTTCAAATAAAAATTAGAATTGAAAAAGTACATTTAGAGAAAAGTTTGGGCAAGCTTCAGTATTCAAACTAGTAGCTACTGATTTGTTTGCAATTTTCCGTTTGATCCTGCAGACACAGAGGAGGATACTGCAGAGCCTCCAGCAGAAGTGTAAGTAGGGCCTATCCAACTTAAAATCAACACCAACATTGTTCGAAATCCCAGAGGAGACTTTTACATGTGATATCTTACACAAATTACTGATCAAACACTGTGTCATTTAAAACTGTGTCATTTGTTCCTTCTTTTTCACACTCACCATGCAAACCCAAACAAACCAGGCTTTCATGGTAACAATCTTTCCATTTCTACCCAAGCCAAGCACAGTGCAGTAAACAAGTCATGATTAGGATATTTACGTATCCAATTATAGATGATAAATTTCACAATTCATTAATATTTGTTGTTCATCCTGTCAGTGAGAATGAAGTTTCTGGGAGTGCCTTGTCTGCCGAGGCTGAGCCGTTTGTCAGTCAGACTCCAGAGCCAGATGTCCTACCTCCAGTTGTATCCGATGATGGACCGCCTGGAGTGGAGGATAGGGAGGAAGGAGAAATGGTAAATCACTTGGACAAAAATATATCCTGAATTGGTAAAAAAAAAAAAGTAAAGGTCCCATAGCCATTACTGGCTGTAGGGGCAGTGGGATGTTAGAGGTCCACTGTGTCTTGGGCGCGGCATATGAGTAGCGGGGCCCAGTCCTCTCCTCTCGCCGTTTTACCTTCCCTGAACGAATCAGGTACCCATTTTACTGTTGGGTCGTCAGAGAGAGTTTCCAGTTTTTGGTCCGAATGGGATTCGAACCGCCAACCTTCCACTCCAAAGCTCCACGCTCTAACTGCTCGCCTACGAGGCCCCGGCATCCTGAATTGAAACTCTGCTAAATCCATCAAGATCTGTCCGTAAACTTTTCTTTTGGATTTTGTTGACCTGAACTATGGGCAAAAGATTGGAGGTTTTTCCTTGGTGCTGGGTCCTGTTGGTTTCAGCAGGCTTCACGCTTCAAGAGCTATTGAATAATAGATTTTGCCTATGAATGGATATTGTTCGATTTGGCAGGGGTAGGGTGATTAATGAGGGAGTGTTTTTATGGAAATTGCTGTTTGTTGTTTGTATTTTTAATTAATTCTGGTCCCCACCTCAATGCGATCCACTAGTTTTTGATTTCATGAGATTTGTCTTTATATTTTAGGAGGATGATGATGTGGGGCGGGCTGAAGAACATGATAGTGATGAAGACAGCGATGAAGATGATGATGATGTGCAAGTCACAATCGGTGACATCAAGGCAGCCCCAGCCTATGGGTGAGTCTTGGAGAGTACATTGTTGCCTTGCTCATAATGACTGGATTGACATTGGAGATAAGTCGTGCATGTAGTGACAATTGCCGTTTTGTGTTCATTTTTCCCATTCCCGTTTGGTGTTCATCTTGATAAAAATCCCAACTTTCGATCTACAGACTTTCTTTCATTAAGCATTCCAAGTCAGAATAAAAGAGGTAGGCTCTTGCAACTTTAGCCAGGGCTCAAATGAGTTCGTTACTTAAATCAAGTTTTATTGATGTTTAATTTACTGTTTTTCAGCTCATATGGAGGCCAGCCTACACACAGTCTTAGCAAGACCTCTACATATCACAAGACGTCAGCTACAGCTCCTCAAGGTATAGTACTCATGTTTCAGTGATTGCTCTTTGGCACATCTAATAGAAGCTGTCTTTTGCCACGGCCATTGTTTCATTCATATTACCAGTCTTTCTTATCCTGCCAAATCCACAGAAACCTGAATGAGTAATCGCTATTGAACTCTGTAGATGTAGGAAGTCACTGAATAAGTTCCAGTGCAGAATCTCAATTGGCTTGTTTTCCCTTTTGTTTGCTTTAATACAGCACCAGTACCAACAGTTCCTAAGGTTCCAGCCAAGGGAGTGGACATGGAGGTGGAAGGTACCATTAACGGAGTAGGGGTGTACTCCTTTGATCTGGACTCTGTCTTGGACAAGCCATGGAGGAAACCAGGTAACATATTAACCCTTACCCTACCAGACCCTTCAATATTTGCCCTAAGAAAATGCCCAATGTTTACGCACAGGCAATCAGTATGTTACATATTAAACCCTCAGCTGATTTTATGAAACAGTGCATAACATAGGCCATGCATAGAATTTGCACAACAAATTTGTTTCTGAATAATGCTATGTATAGCTTTTAAGTATTTTTTATCGTTATGGAGGGCACTGATTTGGTAAATTGTTTACTATTCATCATTGAAACCGTCAGGTGCTGATTTGACCGACTATTTCAATTACAACTTTAATGAGGAGACGTGGAAGAACTATTGCAATAAACAGCACAACTTCCGAGCTGAAGTTGGTGGGAAGAGCTACGTACATGTGAGACATTTTTCAATTTTTTTCCAGTATTTTTTTTTAACCCATTAGCACCTGTACTACATTGTACTACATTGTGTTTATTGACTGAAGAATCAATAAAACCATTGAGTGCTCAGGTGGTTTTGGGCGCTACAGGGAGTAAAGAGTTAAGAGAATTGCAGCGTTATTGCCATGAGGTTGTCAGCTTTAAGCAGAATAATGTAACTTGAACTAAGAGATATTTTTATTGGTGAGCGTCCAATGGTTCATTCTTTCGACGTCAACTTTCCAAAGGAAATTCGGCCCTGTGTAAAGTAATATCGGCCTTCCTTCCAATTCCCCCAAAACCTCTTAAACAATTTGGAACTGGGAGGAATTGGGTTGATGTTGACTCACAGATATTTCTGGCCTCTGTCTCAAAATTGGGTGAGATCCACCAGACCACAAAGACAAAAAAATAGACTACAGTTGTATACTAGTTTTATTAGTCCTTTTGTTTATGTGAATATGATTGTTTTTCTGTTGTAGGACTCTGTTAACTCCAAAGACAGCCAAAGTTCATCAGGTGAGTAATCATTTATCATTTTGAACACTTGTTCCTTTTCAAATGCACCTCCTCTCTGTATTTTTTCCCCTAAAATTTCATTAAGTAATTCCCTTATTCTCTCATGTTTAGACACTCATGTGGATTTTCTTCTTGAGAGATGCATAAACTTGAGAACAGATAAGTTCACTTTTGACACGATCTTGTGTCAGTTGCATTTGCTGTATACTTCAGTCTAGAGGAACACCTGCAAAAAAGACTTAACTAACATTAAAGACTTTGGATAACCAATCGTACATGGGTATAACACACTAATCCTACTTTTAAGATTGTGCTCACTTTGTTCAACCCCCTTTATTCTTAAATCAGCATTTTTATTACATTCATATTTTTAAATCAGCATTTTTATTACATTCATATTTTTTTTCCGGACCAACAGCTAAACCAGATGTAAAGCCCAGCCCAACACGGCAGACTTCCCGCAGTGAGTTCCCAAGCCCCATTAACGTGATCGGCTCAACAGCTACCAGACGGAGACCCAATGAGGGCGATCCGCAGTCAATGCACAGTATCCAGGTCGTTGGAAGTGACGCTAAAATGACCAACAACTTGTAAGTTCAGAGAAGTTATAAATTACCTTTATTTATTAAAGAAAATAAATAAATAGACTGACTGACATTCAATATGCATATGAGTTGAAGATGTATCTATTTTTCCATATAGCTGCCTGTAAAATTTGACATTTTTTATATTTGTGATATTTTCAATATGGTACATAAGCAATGAGAAAGATGATAATAAATTTAAAAACATATGTTCAGATATAGTGTTTTGCCCTTGGTCAATGTATTTTCATAAGCACTGTATACTTGATATTGTCTGAGAGCTTAAAGAGAAAAAATTCCAAGCTTACTTGGGTGGGACTCGAACCCATGACCTCCTGCTTATGAGTGCAGATGTCTTACCACTCAACCAATGAGCTTGCCGTGCTTGAGGGTATAATTTGTGAAAAGATGTTAATTCTGTAATCGCTGTATCTTTCCTCTTTCTCTTTAAAAACAAATAGTAGCAAGCCTAATACATCGGGACCGCCACCACCTTCAAGCCCAAACCAGCCCCCACCCAGCACCAACTATGGCCCTCCCAACATGCAGGGCCCACCGCCCAACATGAGGGGTCCCACCCCCATGCGACCCCCGGGGGGTAACATGGGCCCCAGGCCCGGCGGGGGTCCACCACCCCCGATGCAAAGACCTGGGGGACCCCCACTTCAGAGGCCTGGGGGTCCGCCCCGTGGGCCCCCCATGGGGCCCGGGGGACCACCCAGGGGTCCCGGGGGACCACCCAGGGGTCCTGGGCCCATGGGAGGACCCATGGGGGGACCCCCAAGGATGGGAGGTCCACCCCCGCATGGAAGGATGCCGCCACCTCACTCAGGTTAGTCCAAATGTTGTATTCCTTATTTCTTCCTAACACTTTTGTTCAGGCATGTAACACTGAAAAGTGTGAAAACATTACGGGCACATTATTTTTAAAACAACTTAATATATATTTTGTTTCTGTTCCCCCTGTTTCAGGCCCTCCACCACCCAGGATGAACATGCCTCATCCCAATATGTCAGGTCCACCCCCGCAAAACTATGGACCTCCTCCTCAACGCTTCAGTAAGTCATCATTTCCTTTTAATAATCCCAGCATTATTTCAAAAGTACAGAACTTCTTACAGATGAATAGTAGCAATCCTACAATGCCAAGTTGGAAACTACACTGGAAGCTTTTGTGTAAATATGTCAATTGATGTGGAAAGTGCCTGGATGACTTTTGCTTCAATTGAAAAGCAGAAATATCGGCTCAGAATTGAATTGTAAGGCTATTCGCTCTTTTCACACTTCCGCCATGGGCATGCAGAGCCTCCATCTGGCAACTTTACACAATAAATATAGCCGATTCCGTGATTCCCGTGTCGGGGTTCAGATCACTGAACCGGCCGGCTATTTTTATTGTGTGAAGTTGCCAGATCGAGGCTCTGCATGCCCAAACGGCGGAGTGTGAAAAGAGCGAATCCATTGCTGACATCTTTTTAAAAAAATTCAGTGTAAAACCTACATGTGTATTCTTCAAGTACCCTACATCTGCCAACATTCCACATCTAATTTGAGGAAACCAGATTGGAGAATGTAGTGTACGTCCCAGTTTTGTTTCAGTGGGGTGAATGCACTATTTTTACCCCAGTTGAAAACCTGAAAGATTCAAGAATTGTCCCGTCAATATTGGTGTTCCAAGGGTGCTTATTCAGATCCCACTCCAGTCAAGTTTTGTTTGTACAACTTTATTTGTTCAATCTATACTAAAAATGCCAAAAAACATTGCACTCGAACAAAACTTAAAACTCTTATTTAATTGAAGGGGTTCCTGTTTGATTTGTTTCAGTACCAGAAGTTCTGAAACTGTGCTTTCTTTTTCAGATGGTCCCCCTCCCAGACAAAATTTCCCTGGTCCCAGGGGTCCGCCACCGGGTCCTGGGGGCCCCATGCCCCCTGGCGGACTCGGCCAGAACGGTCCCCGCCCTGGCGGCCCGCGCCCTGGCGGCCCACGCCCTGGTGGCCCGCCTAACATGAACATGCCCCCGCCCAACATGAACATGCCCCCACCCCAAGGGGGGAACTTCCCTCACCCCCAGGGTGGAATGCCCCCACCCCAGCAAGGCGGCATGCCTCCACATTCCATGGCTGGTTCCCTACCACCCCCTGCACAGATGGGAGGCCCTGGGCCGATGCAGGGCCCCGGGCCAGGATCTCAGGGTATGGACACCAGGAGACCGCCGCCCAACTTCAGTGACAGGCCGCCATTTTATAACGGTAAGAACAAGGCGTACATCTGTTCCTCAAATCTTAATATTTACATGTGCAGTTTAGCATAAGTTGTAGGTTTTCCTGTTCAACATAAATTGAAATATTCAATTAAAATGTGTGAAAGAAATTGCATCAAACAAGCAACAAGGAAAATTACCATAGATGAAATGCATGTTGATTGATAAATGTTTTAATTCACGATGCTAAGCTTCAGGGTTTGATGCCATGAATGTGTTTGTCGTTTTGCAGAGTCCCCGACCCAGAGCCAGTCATTCAATCCCCAATTCAACACAGGGCCCCCTCCCCCTGGGCAGGGCCCCTCACCCACTGATATGTGGGACAGGGGGCCGGGTGTTGGGTCCACGCCCTTCTTCAGGGCACCGAGTCCCACTAGTGAGAGCGATATCAGCACGTAAGTTGGCAGGTTCTATCAATAATCAAATATATGAGTTTAATCACTAATCGCGCAGGCTTAGCATTTTTGAAACCTTGGTGTTATTTGCTTTGGCTTTAACTTCATCTCCATCTCTCGGCCTCAGATCCATTGGCAGCCGTCGTTGTTCCAACCAACCGCAAAGTATTCGCTTACCAGCAAAGGGATGCATATTGTGCTGAAATTTTGAAAGTTAGGGAAGTCTGGAAGCTGGAGCCTTAAGTTAAACCTGGAGTCAAGCCAAGGTTTCAGAAATGACACCTGATACGTGTTTTTTCTTCTTCAAGAACCGCCAAGTTTGGTTTCAAATACTTACTAGCCCAGAGCTTCGTTGTTGACCATATTTTCCCTTTGACACCTGACCTACTTCTCCATTCAAAGTTGCTCTTGCACTGAGATTGTTTCTTGATTTGTTTGAAGGAGTAGCGATGAGGATGATTATCGTCACAAAGAAGTGCGGAGTTACCGTCGCGAAGAGTAAGTATTATGTAAATACAGTCATATATGGAAGGACGTATTTTCTGAAGTCACTTCTGTTTAATTGATTATGTGTTCGTTGTTGTTTGATTTATTTGTCACATTTTCCCCTTTCGCAGTTATGACAGGAAATCTCCAGAGCGAAGTCGGTCAGATCGGGACCGGTCCCGGGATCGTGACCATGAGCGGGACAGGTCACACACCAGGGACAGAGACCGAGACAGAGACAGACACCGTGACAGAGACCGGGACAGAGACCGCGAGAGAGACCGAGACAGGGACCGGAGGCACCGGGACCGGGAGAAGGAACGGGAGCGGGAGCGGGACAGGGGACGAGACAGCCGGGATGGCAAGGAATCACGAAGGTCAGGACAAAATATGCTGATAATCACACATCTGGACATTGCTCAGAAAGAATGTAAAGCTACAGTTCATCATTTGCAGCTATCCAAAAAGTAACTGACGTAATTGTTGTTGGAAAAAAACATACTTGGTAAAGAATAGTAAGATAGTAAGGGGACTAAACTCCCTGTGAAATTATTCTTTCTGGCAAGCTGTCATTTTGAAGAAATCAACGAAAGAAGGCCTTTCCAATGGTGCGTCCTAAGACGCACCGGTGTAAATTTCCGTTAGTAGTTTGTTGTTTTATTTGGCACGTACACGTGCGCGGTTGCTATAATTCGTCGGATCAGTGCGCGACATCGCGTAGCTGCAATCGGCTCAGTGAGAACGTGTCTCCGATGCTGAATTCAGGCCCAATTCAAAAGCTGATTCAGCAAATTTTGATTTGAAATCGAGATCCTAGAATGCTGTTTTTCTCGAAATATACAGCTGAAGCTGAGCTGAAACTTCATCAGGTTAGTTGTTCAGCACCCTTCTTTACATTTTGAGCACTTTTGTTGCTTCAAACGAACAAAATGCACTAATGACAAATGATGGACTGAATCTTTAAGAATAACAGGTTTTTAGAATTACTCACAAAAATGACATATTTTACTACCACAAAATTCCTTCCGATAGCTTTTCAACCCAAAAAAACCTTCAGTTTGTAATTAAAGTGGAATTGTGGTTATCATGATTTCAGACGACGACATGACAGCGAAGAGTCCCACAGGAGCTCACGACATCGACACAGCAAACGATCGCGACGGGACCACGACGAGAAGGACTCGGACGGGAAGAAAGATGATGAACGAACGGAGGATGCAACCAAAGATGACGGCAACAGCTCATTGGTTCCTGAATATTCATCGGATTAGAACGCCTCACTTCAAATGTCATAACAGCGGTAGGGAATGCGGTGTAAAAAAACCCAGCTGGGCAACCTCGATATGCGCATAAAATATATTGTTTGTTCTAGTCTGAAATCAGATTCAGTATTGAGCCTGTCATTGGCTCAATAGCCTTGGACTAGGTTTCAAACTGGTTTCAAATCTGTGCATTTTTTTTTTTTATTTTGCACAACAAAATGTGCAAGCCAAATCGCTCAAGCAGATGTGTATGTACAATGTACTACAACGTCAGTATGTAGTCAAGTATATTTGAATTAGTACAAGAACTGTTACAGAGGAATGCAAAATTAAACAAGGGGCAACGCAAGGTTTTACCCGAGGTACCCCACAATAGACCGCTTGCAGACGCGATCGATAATTGACGCGCGAAGGTGCGTGACGCCATGTTGTGGGACAAAATGTGCATGGATAGATATACGCTTGTCCCACAACATGGCGTCGCGCGCCTTCGCGCGTCCATTATCGAACGCGTCTGCAAGCGGTCTATACCCTGTAAAACATTAACCCTAAAGGGGGTGGGGGGGGGGGGCCTCAGCTTTTCCGCGATAGCCTTGAAAAAAATATTTTTGCGACCCAAGCTGTTCCCACTTTTTAGCCTCGAGCCTTGCGCATCTTTTGATACCAAACACATAAAATTCGGACCACGGGTTGCCGCTTTGACCTATAGTCATGAAATTTCTTGGGTATGTTCATGAATAGTTGGTCTATGCATGTACCGAGTTTCATAATTTTTCTTCACGCGATGGCCGAGATCTTAGAAGAATCCCCCCCCCCCCCCTTGGCTGAGCGGTGGTCAAATTAGCCCAGCCCTTTTAGGGTTAACTTGACTTACTGCCTGTTATATTTTGCATTCTCCCCTTATCATAAATTCCACAACACTGGTGCCAAAATGAAATGCTTATGAAAATGGGAACAATGATGAATACGGTAGAATGCTGCATAGGTGCCTTGCATGTCAAACAGGCCCGCATATTGCTCTACATTTCCTCTAAATCTGAGGAACCAGAAATTGTAGACCAATATTTTCCTCACATATTAGAGAAAAAACACATTGTAAGCACTCATCTGCTTGATAAATTGCCATTAAAAAAATATACTCGCATTGCAGTTTGAAAGATAATCGTGTGTTTCAAGGAGACAGTTTTGGATTATTTTTCTTTAAACTTTTATTATCACACTTTTTTATATGATTGTTTTTGCTTGGATCGATTCTCAATATTCATGAGTCTTTTCGGGATCATTTTCTTACCTCACGTTCCTTTTGAACTCAAGTGCATCAAGTTGTGCTACTGTAGTAAAGTGCCATTTGATAAAAGCATTGAACATATTATGCTCTCTGTACATGTTGTAAATTGTAAAAAAGAAAAAAAAAGTACCATGCTTGTGGGGGTTGTGTAAAAAGATTGGTAGGACATAATGCACAGTTGAGTAAAAAAATCCTCTTTCCAAATTCGTTCATATTTTCCCCTACAAAACAAGAAAGGTGACTTATTTGCAACCCACAATTACATGTAACCATTTGTATGACTTTATATCGTCCTTTTTACATGAAACTAAATAACAGCTAATCTTATCACAATCTTTCATTTACATCAACATCTTTTTAAAACGGAGAGTTTAAACTATCAATTCTTACTGGTGTTACAGTTACCACATCTCGTTGCTTTAACTAGCCATATCTACCTTTGACATTTACCAGTCCCCTCCACATTCAAATAGGCTTTTTCCGGCTTCCATTAGCAAGCTACCTGACAAGTTTTTTGGACAATACAACAAGTGTTTCAAATGTAGACAACTTTTATTGTAGCCCATGAGGTAGACCCCCATTGCCTAATACTACACAATTTAATTGCTTCATTCGTGCAACACATGTATGACGCTCCTCCAACAATGATCGTGAAATCGTTTTATATGTGTGTGCAAAATGTTTTGGGGAAGAACTGGTTGCATCTGTGAATTTTCTAAAATTCACCATTTGACTAGATTATCGTAAATTTGAATTGATTTTCAAGAACAGTCTGTGAAATGTTAATGAACTTGTCACAGAATTTAGGACACATTGACAAAATTTCTAAAGTCATGATTGCTTGGCACTGTCGTTGACAATTGACACTGGTTTTTTTCTGCTCACAGAACTAATGTGAATGTTGCGCAACATTTATGAATACCTATTTGAAATGTACAAAAGGAATGTTGTGTAACATTTGTATTGTGATGGCTGGTATGGAAAGTTTAAGCATTCAAACAGTCATTTTTGTCTGATGATACTTAGGCCTGCATTCAGATATTTAAAAATAAAGTTTTTGCAGCTAAACCATCTTAACATAAGAAATCACATGAAGATCATAAAACTTAACGGCATGGCTGTGCTAAGTTTTATCCATTAATTCATCTGGTTTACATCATTATTATTGTTAAAAACATTTTTTGGTATCAAGATTTTGGCAGGATGGGTCATTGTATGAATAAAACATACAGAATGTCACATTGTGCCAGCAAGGGTGTTCTTCATTGATTGCTTCACATGCTAGTTTGTCAATCATTCCTCCCCCCCCCCCCCCCCCCCCCCTCAGGCTGTCCCACCCAGATTAAATGGCAATCTCCAACATGCATGTGTGGGGCACCCTAAACAGCACTTGTTTTGTTGTCCATCTTGTGCTCGAATGGTAAAAATGTTCGTGAGTGACAAAATTCCATCCTGCAGGCTTACAAAAATGTGACCAAACTTCGACGTTAGACATGTTTTTCTTGAAAGTTTTCATGACTTTTGAGACGCGAAACATTTAAACTAATTATCACAGTTTGAACAGAAAACAAACAATAGATTGAGGATGTCAAGGTCAATAAAAAATACTGGCATTGTGATAATAATAGTTGAGTAACATGTACGAACCAATGGGGGCAGTGAACCAGTCAAGCTTTAAATTATTTTTTCTTTGGTACATTTAGAAATAAAACTGATCATCGATTCACCAATTAATGCACTGAATATAATTCTATAAGAAAATTGTGAGTAAAATTCAGTTTTTCAAACTTTATATAAAGAAGAAGCAATTCTAAAAAAAACTTGGACAAAGGAACCAGTCATCCGATCCAAAAGAACGATTGTGATTGGTCAGTGGTGTTAGAAGTTTACATCCAAATGAATCAACAGAGGGCGGCAGATAAAATTAACGATACATAGACCGCCAAGAAAAAGAGGCATGGGCAGTTACTTTTCCATTAATTCCCTGGGCAGGCAGAGATGTATAAACTTCACCCAACTGTACAAATGTATAACCCACTGAATCCCTTTTGTGGTAACAAAGTTAAACCATAGAGCAAGGACAATTGTCCTTGCTCTATGGTTAAACGTGGTCTGCTAAATCAAACTTGTTTACCTTTCCGCCATCTTGTAACGTAAGTGAACCAATCGCAAGTCTCAACTTTGGTCATGTTGGTCGGAACAATAACGTTATTTCGTAACCGAAGCGCCAAAAGGTCCCAAACATGGAGCAAAACAGCAGCTGCAGCAGAAACGGTCGCAGCGCGCCAAAACGGTCAAGCTTCCAATGTTTTTCTTCGGTATTTTTACAAAATAAACTGTTCATTCACAAGATGCATTCAAATGAATCAATAGAGGGCACCAGATAGAATTAACGGCACATTCGCAGACATTGTTGATGTACCCTAACGTGGCGCGGCCCCTAACGTGGCGCACTTTGATTTTTCGCCTGTAGCATCTAGCTAGAGCAAAAGTTTTAACTGAAATTTCACAGAAAGTGAAATTTCATCAAGTTCTAAACACTCCCGTTCATAAATCGCGAGTTTATTTACCCGTTACAAAGTTAGAAGAAAAAGTTATTTTGGCGTGATTTTTCGATTTTATTTTGAAGTGCAACGTGAACCCTTTGAAAATGCCCCGAAAAATAAGAAAATAATTTTCTGACAAACTTCTGGCTGGGTATGTAGGTAGAGATAATAACAATTTATCAGAATTTATCAACTTTACAGAAATTATTAAATGTTAATTTGTGATTTTCCAATATTTATTCAAGTGCGCCACGTTAGGGAACACTCCACCAATTTGTGCCCAATTTCCGGACGCCACCGTTTTGGAATTTCCGATTAAATTTCATGACACCGAAAGTTTTCACAGAGATTAAAAAGCAAGTATTAATAAGGTAAAGGTACCAGTATTTCACTGCATGAATTTGAGGTTTGTCAACAAAGAGGTTTGGAAACACTACACGAGGAAATTTGGGTAAACGTCGAAGTGCGCCACGTTAGTGAACACCACCATATAGGCCTTTCTTTTGTTTGTAAACATTGGCGCCATTTTGTATGGACTGCCGTAAGCGCATAAATTGAAGCCGTGGTTGGCAACATATTTTTCCAAAAAGGTCCTCATAACGCCATCAACACATAGTAAAAAGGCATGTGTAAAAAGGAATTATTTTGTAGCTTTGTTGAAAATGTTGTATTTCCAAGTATCAAATAATAGTTTGGTGATCTGTAATAACTCTTCTTCATTTTTGCAGTGTTGGACCTTCCATAGTTTTGCAGATCGTGGTTGGCAAAAATGCAGTTTGCCAACCAAGCGCAGAAAGGTCTATAATTGTCTATGCACATGCGAAAACAGTAAACCAGTCAAGCTTTAAATTACTTTTTATTCGGTATTTTTACAAAATAAACTGATCATCGATTCACCAAGTAATCCACAGAATATGATTTTATAAAAAAATTGTAAATACAATTATGTTTTGAAACTGTAGAAAAAGAAAAAGATACAATGTTGATTATTTTTGCAAGGAACCAGTCATCAGACCCAGAGGGACGATTGTGATTGGTCAATATTTGAAGCTGCATTCAAATGAAATCAATAGAGGGCGCCAGACAGAACTAATGGTCCCGAATTTTCTCGGCTTTGGATTTTGTGCACAGAAAATAGGTTATTTAATCTGGAACCATTGATGTCTTGAACCGATTCTTTTGGGCCCGGAACCGACGATAGCGGGTACCCGGTTCTTGGTCCCGATTATTAATTGTGCTCTGCTTTGATAATCAATGAGGAATTTCAAATTGAAATTGAAGCCGAGATTCTCGGTGCTATACCATTGTATGACATTGCGAGCCCTTTTTTTTTTAAAAATCCTCTCAACAAAAGACAGCTGTAGCCCCAAGGGCCTAGGTTTCAGTGCCGATTTGTGGGCGGCAGACATAACTAACGGTCCCAATTATTGTCAGACTGTGCAGGGGACAGACATAATTAAAGAAAGCAATATTATTCTCCCTGCGAATTTAACTTCGCCCTGGAAGTTACAGTGGATAAAGTATAGACAATGCATCAATAGAGGGCGGCAGATAGAAATAACGGCTCCGAATCTACATTATTGTGTTGTATTTTGATTATCAACAGAGGGCGGCAGATAGAAATAACGGTTCCGAATTTACATTATTGTGCTGCATTTTGATTATCAACAGAGGGCGGCAGATAGAAATAACGGTTCCGAATTTTCATTATTGTGCTGTATTTTGATTATCAACAGAGGGCGGCAGATAGAAATAACGGCTCCGAATTTACATTATTGTGCTGTATTTTGATTATCAACAGAGGGCGGCAGATAGAAATAACGGCTCCGATTTTACATTATTGTGTTGTATTTTGATTATCAACAGAGGGCGGCAGATAGAAATAACGGCTCCGAATTTACATTATTGGCCAAGTTCGGGCAAGGACCATTAGTCGACTAGTGGTTGATTTGTGACGTACCTTACGCCTGCGCACTAATAGCAAAGTGCGAACGTCTCTATAGTCGAACTCTGGTCAAAATGTCATCGCAAAACGTCTGGATCCTGGCTCCCTGCTGTACGTTATGAACGCGCGCGGCTATGGTTACCAGCGAAGCAACCAACCCCAGTAGGTTGGTTCCAAATAGTCGACTAGCGTAGTTAACCATCGTCGACTAGACAGAGTTCGGGCAAGCGTTAGTCGACCAATGGTTAACTATAGTCCTTGCGCGAACTTGCCCATTGTGTTGTATTTTGATTATCAACAGAGGGCGGCAGATAGAAATAACGGCTCCGATTTTACATTATTGTGTTGTATTTTGATTATCAACAGAGGGCGGCAGATAGAAATAACGGTTCCGAATTTACATTATTGTGCTGTATTTTGATTATCAACAGAGGGCGGCAGATAGAAATAACGGTTCCGAATTTACATTATTGTGCTGTATTTTGATTATCAACAGAGGGCGGCAGATAGAAATAACGGCTCCGATTTTACATTATTGTGTTGTATTTTGATTATCAACAGAGGGCGGCAGATAGAAATAACGGTTCCGAATTTACATTATTGTGCTGTATTTTGATTATCAACAGAGGGCGGCAGATAGAAATAACGGCTCCGATTTTACATTATTGTGCTGTATTTTGATTATCAACAGAGGGCGGCAGATAGAAATAACGGTTCCGAATTTACATTATTGTGCTGTATTTTGATTATCAACAGAGGGCGGCAGATAGAAATAACGGTTCCGAATTTACATTATTGTGTTGTATTTTGATTATCAACAGAGGGCGGCAGATAGAAATAACGGTTCCGAATTTACATTATTGTGCTGTATTTTGATAATCAACAGAGGGCGGCAGATAGAAATAACGGTCCCGATTTTTTTATTGCGCTGTGTTTTGATTATCAATAGAGGGTAGCAGTAGTCTGGTTCCCCAGACCAAAAGATTCTGACTATTCCTAAGATTCATCAGGAATAGTCAGAATCTTTTGGTCTGGAAACCAGACTACGATTATTGCACCGTGTCTCGACTTGTGCGGAATTGAGGGTGAGAGGTGTGAATCAAAGGTAAAAAATCATGCGTTCGCTGTCAATCTAACATCACAAAAAGACGATGCATATTTACTGCCATAATTTTCAAATCATTGTACTTTTGTTCATTTGTTGGCCAAGTAAATAATAATAATAATAATAATAATAATAAGTTTTTTTTCAATGATAAATTTTCAATAATCGATAAGGAATAGTAACAATTTAGGGCATGGCGCTCCTACCCCCGCCCTGTACGAACGAAGGCTTGTTCAAGCTACTCTGTATACTCGTAAGTATCATCCGATTGAAATTTAATTTAAGTCACTTGCTGATACTGATTCGTTGGAAAGTCGCCTGACAAAAAAAGTTGTGTCGAAAAGGTGATAAATAAAAAACCGCCCTCTATTGTCATTTTTTAATAAGTGAAACGTTTTGATAATTATGTTTAAAAATATATATTTGTCGCCCTCTTTCGTTTCTCAAATGTATCATTTTCATACATTTTGCCTAAACATTGTTTCAGTTAATAACGCACCTATCGGCTCCCGCTTCCTCCCCCCCCCCCCCCCCCCTCCCGCCCACTCCAAAACCTAAGAACGGTTTTGGTCTTGATTTGAGATTTTGGTCTTGCATGCAATTTTGCAATTAGGTCTAGAATTATTTTCCTTCTTGCACAAAATATCGATCTTGTATAATAGTTTTATTTTATATTGGGCAAAAAAAATGGGTCTTGGACAATAAAGAGTGGTTGAAATATATTCCGTTTTGCCATTCCATAGAACAACCCCACTGCAAATATTCCAAATGGTTTGTCAGTGGCAACATAACAACTTAACTTGGGCATGGACCGTTAGTACTGTCTACCGCCCTCTGTTGTTAATTAATGCGGTCACAGTTTAGTACCGTTAATCTTATCTGCCGCCCTCTATTGATTTGAGTGATGCATTGGTACTTACTAGTTAGGTAGTTTTCGGAATCGCCATGCAGTCCATTGGAACATCATAGTTAGGCAGACTTTGTGATGGACCATTAGCGGGTGTCAAACAGTTAGGCAGAAATCAGTAGACTATCAGTTCGTTCCGGGGCAAATTCGCTGGTAACCATTTTATGTGGTAGTCTATTGGAATGAGTACCAATTTCGAGTACATGTACTGTACTACTTCATGTACTTGGGCCGGGCATGTACTTTGTGTAGGGATAGGAAATTCGGAAGAAAAACCTCGAGATTAGAAAAGGAGGATTTCCAAAATGACGATGGAAAGTGACAACCACGCCCCAGCGGATGAGAGACAAAACTCTGTAAGACGTATTTTTAAGTTCATTTTCTTTTGAAAGATCGATAAATTACTCCATATTGTGATAGTTTTTATCAAAATAACATGAATTTTATTTTTAACTGTACACTCCCACTACTGACACTGTACTGGCGTAGTCGTGGCAGTCTGCAGTCATCTGTCATGCATGATGAACGAATAAATTTATTTAGGGCCTATTTATTTGGGGGGGGGGGGGTGGCTACAGTGTACTGATGTAGGCTAAATATTGGGCGATCGTGTAGTGTAGGCCCCTGTTTTGTTTTGATCAAATAAGAGTCCAAAATGTTTTTTATTGCTAAAAAATCACCGGTACAACTATAGAATGCAGGGCCACTTTACTCTACATCCGCGCCTCCGTACGGCTGCGTGGAGGCGTGGAACCGCAGTCGACCTACCTCGGCCTCTGAAAATCGATCGTGGAGTCGTGGAGCCGCAGAGAATTGCGCCCTCTATCGGTGCACGTCTCTGCGACTCCGCGACTCCGCGCCTCCACCACTGAGAGACAGTGCCCCGTCGCCCTCCCCCCCCCCCTTCCTAATTTGCGCGCCCAATTAAAGCGACTCTGCGACTCCGCGACTCCGCGCCTCCGCGACTCCAGACAGTGCCCCGTCGCCCTCCCCCCTTCCTAATTGGCCCGCCCAATTAAAGTGACTCTGCGACTCCCCGACTCCGCGCCTCCGCGACTCCAGACAGTGCCCCGTCGCCCTCCCCCCCCTTCCTAATTGGCCCGCCCAATTAAAGTGACTCTGCGACTCCCCGACTCCGCGCCTCCGCGACTCCAGACAGTGCCCCGTCGCCCTCCCCCCCTTCCTAATTGGCCCGCCCAATTAAAGTGACTCTGCGACTCCCCGACTCCGCGCCTCCGCGACTCCAGACAGTGCCCCGTCGCCCTCCCCCCCCCCTTCCTAATTGGCCCGCCCAATTAAAGTGACTCTGCGACTCCCCGACTCCGCGCCTCCGCGACTCCAGACAGTGCCCTGTCGCCCTCCTCCCTTCCTAATTGGCCCGCCCATTTAAAATGGATATGGATGCTTCGTTCTCAAAAAGATTCCGCCGAGAATTGCGCCCTCTATCGGTACGCGTCTCTGCGACTCCGCGACTCCGCGCCTCCGCCACTCCAGTGCCCCGCGTCTCCGCGATTCTGCGACTCCAAGACTCCGCGCCTCCGCCGCTCCAGACAGTGCCCCCAACACATTTACAAGCACGCCCTCCCTTCCGATCCTTCATGAGAAGCTTTGAAGACAAGTGCAGTGCATTCCTTCGCTGTACTTAGCACTTTTTTGCAGGTTTGCATATCTATTACTCCTATTCCATCCACGCCTCCAGGCAAAATAAAAAACCTTGCTTCGGCGTGGCCCTGCATTCTATAGTTGCTCCAAATCACCTTTATAATCAAAAGCAGACTTTTCTCAATTCTATTTCTAATGACACCCGTTTTGCAATTTTGAACAGTTTCTTGGGGTAGAAATCACGATTTTCCTGCGCGGTTTGTGCCTTGCGATTCAGCGCTGTGCGTGCTCACGGTACATCACGCGGTGATCACCATCTTTATTTTAGGGTTTCGTGTTGTCGCCGCACTGTCATTGTCATTTTACCCCCAAAGTTCCCACAAAAAATCAAAACCCTGCCCTCTATCTACGACATGTGTATTGAGAATGTCACCAACTAGTTTGGTTGGTCTAATATAAAGTAATAATTTTAAAGTGGATTTTGTTCCCTTATACTAGCCTGACTAGGAACCGGGCCCTACACTACACGATTGCCAATATTTCAGCATGTGACAACAAAAAGTATTTATTTATAAATCAGTGTTCGTGGCCTGTTACGATAATGAATATCATTAATAGCAATTTGTTTCTTCCATTTTTTAAAGGGGGTTTATTTGAGTTGAGTTTGACCGGCATTTTAGCTCTACTGAGTGGAGCGCTGGAACCACGGTACCGTACAAGCGCTCCACCGAATAGGCATACTTTGACTACAGATTTATATTACTGACACACGGTATGCATTTTTTTGCATACCTAACCCTGGAGGACAAAATGCCCAAAAAACTGGTAGGCCTAAAGAGAATACAAATGAGAAAGACAGTAGTAACCCTGGGTAGATCCACACATTCATGACTTTCCATAAGACCCCTAAATTGTTCCAAACAACCGGTAATTTTGAAAAACAGAACTAAATATTCTGAACTTACCGCTCACAATTAAATGTGTCTGCCGAGTTGTGCCATCCATTTCTTGGCTGATCTGTTGAGGGAAATGTGTGACGTCACTATCGAAGAAAAACAAGTTGCTTCGAATCAACAACTGTTTCATGTAGTGATATGTGCCCAGTGCCATATGACAGTATGGGCTGTCATTTGCTCTGTTTATCATGTTTAAGGGCCTAAGATCCATTTGGTTTTTTTCAGAAAATAGTGGTCTGCACTGTTCACAATGCGTTTCAAAATAAAAACACAAAATTGCATCCAAGTAACACCTATCTCCCTCATATTTGGAACAGGTCAGTTTAAAACAAAATTTTCATTGACAATGACTGTGGCTTTAAATGCCCATTTTTGATGGGAATGCATTTATTTTTGAGATGCATTCAATAAAAATAATTGTTTTTGTTTCATTCTTTCTTTATAGGTTGATGATGTCAACAAGAATCGGGACCTGCGGCTGTCAGGTCATGTCGGCTTTGACAGTCTTCCAGACCAACTTGTCAACAAATCTGTCGCACAGGGATTCAGCTTCAACATACTATGTGTCGGTGAGTGGATTTTTTTTTAAAGATAGAATATTTTAAATCAATATTCTAAAGAATATTTTAAATCAATACTCTAAAGAATATTTTAAATCAATATTCCAAAGTGCTACAGTCGCAACTATAACATCCATGTGTGTAAGAAACACAATTCACGCACATGTGTTGGGTGTGATCGGTGGATCTGTGCTATATTGCCCTATAAGTAAATTGTGCTGCGCTATCTAGCGATCCTGCTGCCGTTGGTCTATCGTGCTGCCATTGGTGTATTTCTTTCTAAGAGTTTTCATAAAAAGGGCAGTACGATCAGAGATTTCAAACAGGATTGACTGATTGCATATCTGTGGAATCGGGTGATAGCATAACTCCACTGATCGCACCTTACATATAAGCATGGTGGTCGAATTGGGATTTTTGAAACTACGATTCCATCTCCAGATTTAGCTTCATCAGTGTCTTTTGAGGCATTAGATACGTTACACGTTGACCTCGCATTGCAAATAATGTTCTTGAAGCTGGACACAAAGGCAAGGCCAAAAAAATAATAGTTCTGCTTCCGGTTTCCCTACCTACCCTATTCTGAGAGCCCCTACCCTAATTTTTTTTGGGAAAAATTAGAAGAAAAAAACACCCAAAACCATCAATTTCTACCTTTTACCCTTGACAACACGCAGACGCCTCCATATGATCGTACACAAAAAAATTGGCAAAAAAATTATTTCCCTACCTACCTACCCTATTTTCAAATGCCGTGTAATTGGAAGCAGACCTTTTTTTTTTTTTTGGCCTAAGGTTTCAAAAACTTCGCAAGCTAAAAGTTATAAAGCTGAAAGTTATAAAGGAAAACAATAATTATAATTTCCTGACAAATATACTATGTTGAGTGCGAATTGAGTTTTATTTACAACTTTTAACTATTTTTGAGGGGAGGTTCTTCTTAATATTTGTATTTCAATTTAAGGCTTAATATTTTAACTCTTTGGCTTTTATGTATTGTTTAAAATTATGATACATGTGGTGGTGTCCTTATATTAATAGTATAATTTTTTTCTAAAAATGAAAGGTCATGAATAAGATATTTTACTCAGAATGTAGATACTTCATTTAGTTTCCATTTTTCTTTTCAATCCATCCTATATAAATACCATAGTTATGTTATGAGTATCATCTGTGTACAAAATGTAGTTCTATTGTGATAGGTGATTCATGACAATCAGTTTAAAGTAAACCTAATGTTTATTACTGTTGTGTTAGTTTTTATTTTAAGAATACATTGAACTGTGTTTCACTTCAAATCATGCGCTATGTTCATTTGAAATGAAGTGTTCTTGTACTTCATTAAAGCGTTCATATGATACACTTTATAAAGTTTACATTTTGGTACTGTTGAGGATATCCCAATTCCCCTTTTTTGTGAATGTCTTGGAGTCTTTGTGCTGAAACTCATTTTCAGCTTAAACAAAGAGAATTTCTTGGCCCTACTGACAAAGAAATTCCATATCCACTGCACATTACACATGTCCATGTACACATGTACTGAACCATGTGGTAAAATGTCCAAACATGTTTTTCCCGTCTGTGATTTATGTTGTGGATTTGTGGTGTTGATTGTGGCATATGGAATTCCACGCATACTTCCTTCCTGTGTCACTGCATAATCACAAAAAGCCTGTGACTTATCAATGAAAAAGTACTACACTGTACTGTACCACAGGACTTTACAATATTTACATTATAATAATATTGTAGGACAGAATATTCTTATAATTTTGTGTGTTTGGGTCAGATTGATGCACTGTTACTGAACTGTGAAAAACAAATCCAAGTAAAAAAGATGAATTTAGAATTATTCTTTAAACACATCTTTTAAACTTCAATTGCACATAGACATGACAGTCATGTAAATATGAACGTGTATGGATAATATCAGAGTGTCCTTATGACATGGTCAAAAAGTCTGAAAAAATGAATTGTATTTAGGGAGACGTAATACACTTACAATTACATGTGGGTTTTTTAAACATTTATTTACATTATTTAAATGTAAATAAAAGACAGATCTATTTACCATCAAATGTTACATTTAGCATGCTCATGTAATAATCTTGAAATTGTAATATGTGGGATTTAGAAGTTGTTAAACATGTACAGTTGGTCATGTATTGGCATAAGTTCCCCTATGCGGTGTTTCCTGTCATTCTTTTAGTGACTCACTCCCTTCCTACACGTACATGCACATGTACATGTACATGGGTTTTTGTTTCCTTTATTCAGTGCTGTGTGGTTAAACCACACACGGGATCATTAACCCCTCTTTACATGTGACGTAATATATGAATGCATGCGTTAATTAACAATGTGTCATTCTGTACTGTACAAAATGTACATTATTAATGTTGAGGAAGTACATGCACATGTGCTGTGCATTACTCTACAATATCCAGGCCTGCTTGAATACAAAGTCAGGTGAACTGAATGTATGTAAATGGAATTGGAAAATGCGAACTTTAGTAAGAAAAGTACAGCACTACACACTGGGGGTTGAAAGTATGTTACATACACATGTACGAGCTTTATGTGCTTGTAATACATAGTGACATTAATTTCCTCAAACGCGAGTGGAACACTGAATAATTTAGTGCGTCTGTGTCCCATATGCCACGAGGCCAAAGTACGTGGGACGCAGGTGCACTACATTTTCCATGTTCCATGAGCGCAGCATGTTAAAAATGAAGATCTTCAAGCAAACTTGACGCGCAGTGCGTGCAGCGGGAATGGCCCACGCATATGAAATAGCGCGATATGCGGCGTGCGGTATGGACCGTGGTATATGCGATAATGTAGCAAGGTTTGGTACTATGAATCAGCCAAGCAGAATGGAGGATTCAAGTTTGCTTGAAGATACATGTCGATATATGCATACAACTTGAAGCCGAGCCCGATAGTGTCAGGCGCAGTATGAAACTAATCATTATTGATCAACTACTACTAAACAAGGATGTTCGGTGTGTGTACATATGTCCACTTGTTCATGTACATATGTTTGCATTTGAACCTGTGCAAGTACAAATTTCATGTACATATTACATTGTGCGCATTAATGTGTTCAGTGACTTTCTTTCCCACGTTTGCTATCTTTGTGTATACTGTCACACAGTCAGGAAAAATATTTTCTTTATCGTTTACATTACATTGTATATCTGTCCTAGTTAGTTTAGTCTGGTCCACAGAGGAAACATTCAGATAACAAAATATATGTGTTGGCTAGAGCTGCAGAGAGCATGGCAATGTTATAATGTACCATCCATTTTAAAGCGAAATTGTTTACAATAATGATAATTGTTAAGTGTAGTGTTTGACATTGAAAGAAAGTTGTTTAGCTTTGCTATTCACCAAACACCATAACCCTATGACCTCAACCTTTGACCTCAACCTTTGACCTCTTACTCCAGGTGAGACTGGTCTGGGCAAGTCCACTTTGATGGACACTCTCTTCAACACGCAGTTTGAGAGCTCGCAAGCACCGCACAACTTGCCCGGGGTCAAACTCAACGCTAGCACTTACGGTAAGCTCAAACATCATCAGCCCCTACTCTTAGAAACTGATTATGCACACTTGTGGATGCCTGCTCTTCTCCATGAAGTTTTGTTCTGAAGAGTGTTTACTTAAGGGCTTACTTTGTCAAAGAATAGATGCTGAATTCTTTGTATATGCAGGGTAAGCATCAGCCCTTAAACTGTGTTCATTTTACCTGTAGAATATTGTGGTTTCTTTCTGTATGCTTTGACTGTACGCAGAGAAAGAGTTTCAGAAATGGCATAATTCTTCTTAACTTTCTATAGGAAAGAAACAGAGTTATGTCTGGTTTGTCATTAAAAAAGTTTACGTAAAATTGTTCGCATTCTGTGTTTTTTTTTCCTGTGTGTTTGACTTTATGCAGGAAAAGAATGACAGAGAAGACTTTGTTATTAACCCATTAGACCTTAAAGCTCCAGCAACTGCCCTGCCATGTATTCCTCAAACCGCCCCAAACTGCCTGTAGTTTACTCCTCAAACTGCCCCAAATCGCCACAGCACTCCATGGTTTTATTGATTTATGGAGGAGTAAATACACACTGTTATACAATTTAATACGAGTGCTAAAGAGTTGACTTTCTCATGGAAAGAAATGTAGTGATGTCTATGACATCCTTGTATGAGAAAAGTCATTTGTCTTAGTGACAAAAGTGGAGCAAAAAGTTTAAAAAGAGGAGTTTGATAAAAGATTCCATTCCCCCCAAAACCCATATTTTTGAAAGCATTACTTTCATATTTACATAATTCTTCAGTATTTTATTCTGGAAATGGAAGGAGACCCTTTTTATGCAAATTATGCAAATGAAATAATTACATTTGTTGTTAGTTTAATCTAACGGAATTAATTTTTCTAAATTTTGCCCACAGAATTACAAGAGAGCCAAGTACGACTCAAGTTGACCGTAGTTAACACTGTAGGCTTTGGTGACCAGATTAACAAGGAGGATAGGTATGTACATGTAAATGGCAAAATGTAAAACACAAGAATAGCATTACTTCTGAGGAATGCTGTCGTCATGAAAACTTTCCAGCATGGGCAAATATTTTTTGGGAAATCTTGTAAAAGAAATTTAGTGAGAGATTTGTTTTTCATATTGCAATTTTCTAGTGGTCAAAGGAAAACCCCACCTTAGTATTAATAGAAGTTTTCCAGTAAACAAACTTGAACGGGTTTTGAGTTTTGGTTTTGTCATTGGATATGGTGTCGTTGCTTGAGAAGCGCAACAGGCTAGCACAAGCAGATGGTACTTGTTGACGAAGTATCAGTTTTGGGATGGGCATAACTACTTCCTGATTCAGTCATAGTTATACACTGTTTGCTAATATAAATATTATTGTGAATACCTGGACAAAAAAACCAGATAGCTTTAAACTGATGTAAACAAATGTAAGCTGCGTATGCTGTCATGTGATATCTGAAGTCACTTGTATAAGGAGAGGGAATGCGTTAAACATTTGAGAGATGAGTATAACAAATTCATTAGGGAACAATACAACATTAATCCCAGCTTCCCAAGCGTTTCACGGGCATCTATCCCCACGTAATTGTGGCTTGGCTATAATTCCTCAACCTTAAAATAAAATTTAGGTAGAGTTTGAAGGATCTGGGAAAATGAGGATCAATATCCAAACTCATGTCTGTCATCCTTCATCTACAATCCATTACAAGTTGACCTCAACTCCATGGGCTCTTTTTGTGAGGAACCTTCCTGAGTCCTCCAAAATCTTCCGCTGAACATCAAACCAATGGCACATTATTTGTACATGTACAAGTTTACACTTACAGGAGCACACATTCCTATGTAAAATATCAGCTGCTGAAACTCTACCCTCCTTAATGCATCAAAACCCTCCCAAATAAAACCTCAAGGTAGATTTTAAAGGGATCCAGAAATGTTAGGTTTAATTTCCAAACTCTCTGACGTCTCATCCATCAGCTACAAGCCCATTGTGGAGTTCATTGACAAGCAGTTTGAGAGCTTCCTTCAAGAAGAGCTCAAGATCAAACGGGCCCTGCACTTCTACCACGACACCCGCATCCACACCTGCTTGTACTTCATCGCCCCCACCGGCCACTCCCTGAAATCCCTAGACCTGGTCACCATGAAGAAACTGGACAGCAAGGTCAACATCATTCCAGTCATTGCCAAGGCTGATACTATATCCAAGAGTGAGCTGCACAAATTCAAGATTAAGGTAAGGCATTAACAGTGGAACTGGTGTGGTTAATACAGAGCTTTAGATAAATCTGTACAACTTGGCTTGATTACTTTCAGTGTTGATGTCGAATCCATCACAAGCCCATCGCAATTCCAGTCACAAGTAAATCACAAGTCAATCTACAGTGAATCACAAGTCAATCACAACTGAATCTGCAGTAAATGACAAGTCAATCTACAGTGAATCACAAGTCAATCTACAGTAAATCAGAAGTCAGTCTCAAGTCAATCTGTAGTTAATCACAAGTAAATCACAAGTAAATCACAAGTCAATCTACAGTAAATCACAAGTCAATCGCAAGTCAATCTGCAGTAAATCACAAGTAAATTCACAAGTCCCGTCGCAAGTAACAGTGAATATGAATAAAGGCATGCAACGGTTATGATGGGACTGGGTGAGTTGTGATGATTGACTCAGTAGGACTTGTGAGGACTTACTATGAATTGTGAGAACATGCGAGGACTTGTGAGAACATGCAAGGATTTGCGAGGACTTGTGAGGACTTGTGAGGACTTGTGATGGACTCGACTACAGCACTGATTACCTCATCGTTCTGCCATTGCCCACCTCTCTATTATGCTTTCCCTTACACACAACTATGCTGCCAAAAAAGCATTGACCTCAGTATTACTGTCTAGAATGTTAATCTCAATGTAATTAATGAGACAATTTTGCCAATAATAACCTTCCTGAATTGTCTAACATCCTCCATTGTACTGGAACTCAATGGTCCAGTATTGGTACTTTTGACATTTCAAAGGGGAATCAGACTCCCTTTTAAGTAACAGTCACTCTTTCCTCTAAATTCCCGCTAGCACCTATGGTTGGAATTTATTAAGAATCTGGAGGGTTATGTGTGAAAACTAGCTGTGTGTTGTGCACTTTCATGAAATGATATTACCGAAGAAAGGAACGAGGCAAATCAAGTCCATTTTGTAATTTTGCTCCAAAAGTCATCATGTTTATGCTGTGGTTTGTATATACATTGAGATTTGTATGTTCTACTGCAGATAATGAGTGAGCTAGTGAGTAATGGAGTTCAGATCTACCAGTTTCCTACCGATGATGAGACGGTTGCTGACCTCAACTCCACCATGAATGTAAGTATGGTTATCCTGAACACTAATAAAGCATTCAGTAAAATTTGTTAACATGCAAAGTCACATAATACAGCAATATCAGTGAGTATCGTCAGGTTATAGACAGAATTTCAAACATCAAAAACTCGCAACTTCACAAATTTTAATGTCAGGAGTTAACGTTTCAGGAAACCATTTTCACTTTGCTAGATTCAGCTTTCTTTGTTAGGCTGAAAATTGATATCATGACTTAAAAAATGTTGAAATAACCACTGGTGCTTCCGTGTATTAGGTGGTGTACAGTCGAGTCTCGTTAATACAAACTCGTTCGGACCTAGCCAAATTGTTTGTTACATCAGAATTTTGTATTAAGAGGAACATCAGTCCCATTCATTGTGCACATAAATGCACAGTCGGGACCAAGGCCTTATGTTTGTTATAACCAGAATTTTGTATTAACAGAGTTTGTACTAACGAGAGTCGACTGTACATGTACCTGCAAACTACTTATGTGGTATAATTGTGTTGTTTGTTTAATTATTTGTTTGATTGATTGTTTGTTTTGTGATGGCAGGGTCATCTGCCATTTGCCGTGGTTGGCAGCACAGAAGAAGTCAAGATGGGCAACAAGATGGTCCGTGCTAGGCAGTACCCATGGGGTGTAGTACAAGGTAGGAAGATGTGGCTAGGATCTTAAGAATATTTTTTTCACTTGCATGTTTCTCACCATTAGCAAATAGGTATTGGTAATAAGATTCTAAAACATAAACCTTAATCTCATCACCACAGTGTGGAGGATTGTCATTCTTTAGCGACAGTTTCATCAAAGGAAATTCTTTGCTGGTTTTTTTTGTTGCAGTTGAGAATGAGAATCACTGTGACTTTGTCAAGCTGCGTGAGATGCTGATCCGTACCAACATGGAGGACCTGATTGAGCAGACCCACACGCGTCACTATGAGCTGTACAGACGCTGCAAACTAGAAGAAATGGGCTTCATCGACACGTCCCCTGAAAACAAGCCCATCAGGTTGGTACTTCCATCATGTGTTTTACATTTTGATTCATGTTTTATTTTTAGCCATGTGAAATGGAAGTCCATTTGTGATGCGATCCAAGCTGAATGAGTCGTTTGTCCACCCTGGTCATTTTTTTTTTACAGATTTGAAAAGAGCACAATCTCAGCATTACTGCTGTGAAAACCGCATGCTGGTACCATTTTTAGTTCAAAAATTATGGAAGTCGGAACACCAAGAGATGTGATGAAGTGATGTGATGCAGTGGCCCTATTTTGGCCTGAATCTCCAAATGAAACTTCCCGACAAACGACTCATTTAGCTTGATCGCATCACACTTGTGTAATTCTATGAGTTAATATGTGGCAGTTTCATGGCAATGCACAGGAGAGCCCCTGAAATAGCCAGCAACTACTGACTACAAAACTAAATGTGTGATTATCTCAAATTCATGAGTTAAGTCTTAATGTTTGTTTCTCATGTGTCAACCCCATCTTCTTGACTGTATAGCTTACAACAGACGTACGAAGCAAAGAGAACAGAGCATCTTCAGATGCTGCAGCAGAAGGAGGATGAGATGAGGCAGATATTTGTTGTCCGTGTCAAGGAGAAGGAATCACAACTCAAACACATGGAGAAGGAGGTAAATAATATCGTTTGAAATAAAAGAAAAAAACAGGTTTGCCGCTTTTAACGCTCAATTTAACCCAACCAGATTAATGTACCATTAATCAGGTTGTGCCACACATCTACTGATGCCAAAATAGGCCTTGGGCGTGGAATACCCAGTTCAATTTTGAATGGTTTACATTACTTAGCAGTAAAAACCTTCTATGAGCGTTGGCTTCTTTTTAGATGTAGGATATAGAACTTCTTTAAAAAGTAGGGGGCGCCATTTGTTTGTTTGTTTGGTTTTTTTTTGACTCACCCTGTAGAATACAGGACAATTATGATGTTTAACTGTCCATGTTGTGTAAAGGATTGGAGCGTATGCTGCTAGGTATGGATGGTCTAATGTTTCCAAATACCTCCCCCTCATTAATATGCTAATCCATTCTGACAGTTGTCACTATTTCTCCCCATTTGTTCAGCTTCATGAACGGTTTGACAAACTGAAGAAGGACCACGCAGAGGAGAAGAAACAACTTGACGACCAGCGACGTCAGCTAGATGAAGAAATCAACGCCTTCAATCGGAGGAAGCAGATGGCACTGGATGATAGCCAACAGGCACAGACCCTGGGTAAAGGAAAGAAGAAATAGACTTCAGTTCCCCGCCTCAATTTATCTGAGCTTATACTTTGCAAGACATTTTGGGATGACTTGTAACTTGTATTGTCACATGACCTAGAAAACTCCAGGGTAAAAACTGTACAACTTAAAGGCATAGAGGATCATTCATATTTATCCAAAACGTAACCTACCACATTGTTATCCAAAAGCTTACTTGGATTAGAGATCGTACTGGTACTAAACACCCCGTGAAATGATTCCTTCTGGCTTGCTGTCATTTAGAAAAAAAATCAAGAAATGTAGGTGATTTCGTCAGTCAGTGGACTAATAATTTGGAAATACAGAGTGCTACGGACGAAATCATGTTTTCTAACAGTTTTCTCTAAAAGTGCAATATCCACTGAGCTGAAATTTCAACAGGTTGGGTTTTGAAAAGTCTTCTTTGGATTTTGCGTGGTGTTGTTATTGGAAACGAACAAAATGCATGAAACGCAAATAATCCTATATGCCTTTAAAGGACTAGAGACTACAAAATGATAGTCACTTTGGCTAGCCATGATAGGATAACAGTTTTTACTGAAGTTACCTAGTAAACGTCCTTGATCCTCCAAAATCTTCCTCCTTCTTGGGAATCATTGATATTGTACTCAAGGGGCATCATGCCAATATGCAAATTTAGAGTGGCTGGGTTAACTTCCTACATGTCCTAAATCCTACAAAATCTTCCAAAATCTACTGGTGAATTTTGAAGGGTTTAGAAAGGTTAGGATCAAGTGAACATCGAGCATGATGTTATACCTCCAAGGTCACAATGTATGAACCTGCTATTTTTGTATGTTTATTGAACAGAAACCCCAGACAATTGGACCAATATTTTGGATGTAAGCATGGTGAAGTAAATCAGAAGTCATAATTAGAAATACTTAATTCTGGAGTTCACGAAATATTAGGAATGTGTTTATTCAAGAGCATGTTCTTCAAGTACAAACTGAAGTCGCAACCTGTGGCTCCTGTTTGCTGCTGTAAAACATTCTGGCCTTGTCCATTTCACATTTTATTTTTCTGAACAATTAAAACCTGAATGCACTGTTCATAGATGAGAAACTTTAGATAGCTGTATATTCAAAGAAAACAGTTCATTCTGAAACTTGGAAGAAGCGTTAAAGCCTAGTTAGCATGCCAAAGTATTCATGGCTATTTTATTTTTATTTTTAGTATTTGTATTTGTTTATGTTATTGTACATATGAGAACAGTTCTCAATTGTTATAAGTATCCCTTCCTGTCTGTCAGAAATGTTTATTCATTGCAATTATTTAACCATTCAACTCTGTTTTAAAGAAGGCTTTTTCAATGCCCTCAAAGTATATTTAAATAGCGCCCTCTTGTGTTGAGTGAAACTCAGAGCACCCAGGCAAGAAAAGGAGGGGACGGTTTTGTCTGAAGTTTGATGTATGTAAAGAAGGGCATGCATGTTCCCAATGTTAGACTTGACTGGTGTCCGAGCATGGTCTACCAGTTTGTCTGATTGTTGAAGCTTGCAATTGGTATCACCTATTAATTACATCAGGAGTGAAGTTCCCTCATTTTAAAAGACATGTAGTTTTTTTATGGACGCATCAGTGAATATATACAATGTAATACAATATAATAAAGTCACATGGATGTATTTCCCCATAATCAATAGAGGGCGCTGTTTGCTGCTTGTCCTGGCCTCCAGATTATCAACTGGACCAATTTTGTTGGCCGTAGGCATTGCAGGGGCTAATGATTCAAACATTATTTACTTTATATTATGTATGTAGCATGTTTGCAATTGTCCATCACGTGTGCAAGTGTTTTGAGCCTCCACACTCGCAGACTGTATACCTCCAGCCAGACAGATTCTTTTGAAATCTCAGTTTTTCTTTTATTTACATCAGCATTAAATACTAAAATATGTTAATGGTAATATCATGCAAACTGCTTATAGTATAATCGTACTTAGTCTCAGCTTTTAGTAATTTGTCAGTTGTTTAATGGTGCTGTAATCTGTTATATTGAAATATACTAACATTATGTTTGGAACAAGATGTTAAGATGTCATGCTGCTAGGATCAGACTCTTCCACACTTGAAAGGAAAATCCACACTTGGGTTTTCAGTTGGAGAGAATGTCAAAGTAGCTTCTGATGGCTAATTTTGGAAACCATGCATTTTTCTCTTGTGGATACCTGTGTGTGACCAATGGTCATAAAGGCCAGTTCATACTTCAGGCAAATTTCAGTGCGAAGCGAATTCGTTATGGTTACGGCGAATGTCACAAATGAAATAATTGTTGACGTCATGAAAGTCGTTTCGCTTTTGCTTTCGCTTGAAGTATTACCCAGCCTTTAGACTGGATCTAACAACATAAATCAGAAGGATAGTTTTGAAATTCAGATATATTTTTTCGGAAAAAAAACTTAGTTTTATCGAGGAACAATGACATTTATGGACATTATCATTTGGTACATTTGTTGAGGGTTCCAACACTCGAAAAGGAGCACTGGAAACCATCTGAACCGTTATATTTAGTGGAGTAACATATGGAAAATCTTTATTCCTGATCAGGCAGTGCTTCAACAGGAATGTTTTTCATGTTGGAGGCCTTTATTGATAAAAGCTAATAATTTAATGGACAGAGCTAGGCCAATTGTTGTTGATAATGGCGAAAAGCCATTTTCATGGGCATCGCAAGGATGGGGCTGGGGGGGGGGCACTCCCCCACCCCCCGCGGAAACCACCCCCCCCCCAAAAAAAAGGACAAAATAAAAATATATATAAATAAAGTAAATAATATGTACACACCTATAAGAATAGGTGTGGACATTTTTGCTATTAATTTATTAAACATTTAACAAAAAGGGCGTCTGCAAGGATGTCCCCCGCCCACCCGCTAAAAATGATAAATTGAGAATATGCTAGAGAAAGTACAAGAATTTGTGTGTGTGGGTTTTTTTTTGGGGGGGGGCTGTGCTTTGCCCCCCCCCCCCCCCCCCGCAAAAAAAAAAAATTCCTGGCGACGCCCATGGTCGTTTTATACACTCACAATCTTCATGAAATAAATAACGTGCACAAAGAGAAAACGTAACTCAACTTAATTGTGAATTGTATTACTCAAGAAGTAGACTAGAAAAACGTTCTTTTTAATTCGTTTTGTATATCATTATATTGAAATATGCAGGGAATAGTTATTCCGGCCTTATGCATTAATTGTCTATTGGAAGTATGTACGTAGGGGTAGCATTGTCTTTTAAATGAATTCTTTTGTAACAAAACTTTAAAAATGTGAGCTTAAGGCAAGTTTTCTTCCATAATTTAATTCAAACCACTAGTAATGAGAGCAATTGTTACTAATTAGGTACCTTATCAAAATTAATGTACCTATAAAAAAATCCATATTTATGAAAATCACACAATAAATAAATGCCAATTTTGACAGATATTGCGGGTCAAGAAAGATTCTTGTCTTGGGTTTGGACGTTTCCTTCTAGTTTAGTGATTTATTTTGTAAATAGCCATCACGCCCTCTTGAGGCGCTCTTCAATGAATTAAGACTTTTGTGTTCAAGGATGACTGTCTATGCCCTCCAACAAATTCCAGCATAAACCTTTTCTCCTAATCTTTCAACTTGTATGTTTTATTACAAAGTAAAGTTGGGTGCATACGTGCTTTTGGGGCGTGGCACCTTGAGAAATAGATTTTCAAATTGAATTGATAATTTTCTAAAAAATTATCAATTCAATTTGAAAATCTATTTCTCAAGGTGCCACGCCCAAAAAGCACGTATACACCAACTTTACTTTATAATAAAACATACAAGTTGAAAGAGCATTATAATTTTTCATTAGTTATGAGCTCCAGTGAGACATAGCACGAAAAAATCGGCACACGACAAGTAATCAATTAATTTCAACTTCTGAATTAAGAGCGGGACGCTCCGCCTAATTAGTTCTGAATATGGTGTGCGCAAATTCTAAGCTGGAGCGTGCCATTTAAATCCCCTTTTCAAAACTGTATAAAGGCCTGCAAAATAACAATTTGTTACATGACAACATATTTCGTTAAATTTCATTCAGAAAAGAAAATCGTAATTTTGAAAAAGCACGTATACCAACTTTATTGTTAAACACTATATTATTTATATATAATAAAACATATTTTGGGCATCTACAGCCCAAAAAAATGTGTTTTTTTTACAAATCCGCTCTGCGATCAGACTAATTTCAGGAGGCGAGTACCAGGCTCACCCTACAAGATCTGAATTCGAAGTTTTTCAAGTTAGTATTTATTCTATAACTTAAATTGGGTCTTTTTTGGTTCGATGTCTCATTCGAAAGTGAATAAGTTTTGTGTAGCTAGAAAATCAGTATTTAAAAAAAAAAATACATATTATATTTTTCGGGGTGTACGCGGAAATAGGAAATATAGATATAATTTAAACAAGGGACATAAAAAGGGTTAATTAATTCGTGGGTAGGGTGCTTGTATATATGACCACCAGAAGCGGGAATGAATATTTTTTATCCCGCCCAAAATAGGACAGATGCAATGAACGTGAAATAAGTTCGCGGATTCCTATATTTTAAACTGCACTGGTCGCCCCTGTGGCGTCATGGAGAATTCATTTGTAAGAATTCATGGAGAATTCATCAGTAAACCTCTATAGAGGAAGTCAAGAATGTGCATGTTTTGTCGTTGGTCAGTACCTCTAGTAGGCCTATGTATATATTTTTGTCGTCAGTATCTCTAGAGGCGACCCATAATATTTTGCACTACCGAATGGTCGCCCCAGAGGTAGTATTGAAACTGTTTGTGTCGTCATCAGTGCCTCTAGCTAAGATGATGACCATTACTGCTGTAATGGTCGCCCCTAGAGGTATTCGTGATTTAACAAATTAAAAAATAAATAATAATAATAATGAATTCACTAAAATCAGGCTCTGTGTTATATGATGAAAAATGATACATTTTTTTTCACGAAGTAAGGCGTATATAGCAATCAGTGCTATCCCAGAAGATGCGAGGGTGTTTCCTCTCATCATAAAGGGGTCTCTAGTTAAATTTAGAGTATGATGTGTCGTGGCTGCCAATACAACCAAAACGTAAGTCACTTAAACTGCATGATCTTGTCGATGGCTTTTTATTATCATTGCAATAAACAAAACTCGACGATACGCACTTGGCATAATTTAATTTAGCCATCAAAATGTGTGCAACTGCAATTTTGTTTCTTTCGATTTTTATTTTATTACCGACCGATCCGTAGGACCTAATACTTTAGAGGCAAAAAATGAGAACCATTGAAAAGGGCTAGGGACGCCCAATGTGAACACAACACTACTGCCGTACATCACAAACTAGAGCTGACGAAACCAGCTAAATTTGTGCACCTGAAGTATCGAAATATCTCGCACCTTTTTTCCTCTTTATATTTTGGGGATTTATAGGAAGAAACTTCGTGCCTTGCATGGTGCGTGCGGATACACGTGCTTCCGTACGCCGATATTTCGAGCCCGTCCCTGTAACTTCAGAGGGCGCGGCGGAGCAGTCAAAGGTTGACCCCTAATGACCCCGGGGTGGAGCCGTAGAGACCCGGATGTTGCTGAGGGTGTGGCAAAAGTGGGCGAGTGCGCTGCTTTCATTCCAACATGGCGGCCACTACGGACAGTCGGAGACAGACCACCAGTCCTTCTAACGTCAAGTCCTGCGTCGAGAGAGCCGGGATGATGGCGAGGAACAAATACTGCGCCTACGAAAGGTGTAACGAAGACAGTAAGTTGGGGGAATTGTTGACGGGTTGGGCCCTGCTGGTTTACATGTACCGCACCGCCCTGGCGGCGCTCTACGTACGTGTATGTGTACAAAATAATGCATGGTTATGGTGCGCTGCGTTCATTGCATTCATCGCCCATTCACTGTGTGTGTTGATCAGCTGTACTGCCTTTGTGAATGCACACGGTACTTGACGACGGTTCGGCTGGCACACACGTCACACACCCCTAGCAGGAAGGAAAACGTATGGCGGTTTTGCTTTTTTGGATTTTAATAATGAACATGATTAATGAACGGTACAGCTTTTACTGTTACAAATTTCAGCCAAATCGAGTGACTAGTCTTCCAGTTCCATCAAAACCTATTGTAATTTAGTTTGTGGTGTGTGTGTGTGCTATCATCGGTATAGGCCTAGTCCCATTTTCAATGTTTGTTTTTAATTTTTGTTTGATGCAGTTTGTTCGTGCATGGCGATCTGATGGCGATTGAATAAAAGCAAAAATACAGCACGAATCAACTCCTGCTAAAATGCATCCATTTCATTTATGCTAAAAAAAGTCATTTAAAACAAAATTCAACAGTCATCCTGCCATTGTGCCAAGATTGGGGCCGAGTAAAAAAATTAAATAATTTCTCATCCAGGTTTTTTTTTAAATGAAGGAGGCGGGCGCTTTTTGTTTCTTTTGTTTTCCCAAGATGGCAGATTTTCCAAGCTAATGGATGATTTCTTCCATTTTCTCGACTTCTTTGTTGATACAAAATTGTGTCCAAAGGAGCCATAACCCTTTCTTGATCGCTACACATTTTGTTAGAAGTGCAGACAATTTATGGACAATATTACAAAATATATTGCAAATGTATGATTTAATTTTTTTTTCTAAAGGATGCGTGCGGGAAAAAGGAAGTGGGCGGGGACGAGATACTTGTTTATTTGTTTACTTGGCCATATTAATAAACATTATATTGTTGATTATGAACATTGTGAGAATAGAAATTTTCAAATATGTTTCTACCGACCAATTTTTGTGTGCTCATAAATTTCCTGTAAGATATTTTAATGAATATACATGTATTTGCTGTTTGCTGAACAAATTACCTTTCAATGGATACTACGAGTTATGATATATTATTACTTATATTTGTTTTTAATCTCACACGCTTATCCCAAAATCATTTTAAAATTACTTATATGAATGGAATACATGTAATAATACTGCCTATCCCTTTTTTCTTCCACTTTAATATGGATTATAATTTATGTGCATGATACTAGGCAGAACAGCTAATTAATTGTCTTCTCACTGCTGCTTTAGAAAAAGCACAAAATCACCTTGTGTACATCAAGAGTATCAAACTACCATTCACGATGTATGCCATATAAGTATATTATCGGACGTACATGTAGTACGTAAAAAGAATTAACCCTTTGATATCGGGAAAATCCATAATTTTCTGGTTTTTTTATTTGGCCTTGCAATGCCATTCCTATGGGATGCGTCTAGTACCAAAGGATGCTTCTTGATCTTTTGTGAAGTCACTGTAGCGTAAAAAGCATTCACAGGGTCTTGTAAGTGAGATTTAGGGGGTTAACCATTTATTCCTTTGTTGCCTTGCCTGGCTTTTGTTGAGGTACCCTCTTAAGAAAATTGACCACAGCCTGCTTATAAACTGCTCAATGAATAAACTTTTAATCTGAGATGCACAGACATTCTTTGTACTTTTTGCTTTTCTGAGATACTCCAAGGATAGGTCTTTTATGGCCAATAACAATGTGAAGCTAGTAAAAGCCTATTTATCTATTAAACTTTTATCAACAACAGAATTGTTATGCGATACTGGTAGTTATTTATTTTTTTTGGTGGTACAGTAATTTGTATGAGTAAATTTTGTAGACCATGGTATTTCGCCAGCTGTGTGTTTTTATTCCTCCATGTTGAGAGCTTGTCATGCTGCTGATGAGATACAAAGTTTACATCGCTCGCTTTGTGGGTGAGTTGCCGTTTTGCAGGCGATCACGCACTTCACGCAATGACGGGTGGCTGCGCTGCCCATCGCCAACTTCATGGACAACGCGATCAACTCATGAACACTCCATACATACACGCAAAGATTGTAGCAGCCTGATTTTCGTGAAGACACATATACCCTATGCGCTTTATACGTAGTATAGGAGTTTGTTGGTTCCCAGATCATTATTTTATGGTCCCTTTGGTAGTGAATTTAATACTTTCTTTTGTTTTCCTTGGTTATTTTCAGTTATTAAATCGCGCAGATTAGCATGGGCTCGTGGGAAGTGGAACGTAGAAGGTACAAGTGTGTTCATTTGTTTCTGGTGCTTAATATACATATGTTCACATAGTCTGGGGGAAAATGAAAAATAACACTAAGCTTCCCGTGCTGATTAACCTTATGGAAATTTTGAAATAATGCAATTCTTTGCTGATTGTTGGAACATTTGGGGTGGAATTCATATTTTTTTTTATATGACACAAAGTACCGTGTTTTTCAGTGTTTTAATTGATCAATATGCCCCTTCTTCTTTGCTGACTTTTAAAACAGATCAACAGCTTGGCTTATTTACTTCCTCTTATGCCAGTTCCGTTCTATACTTTTGGTACTCTGTCATTGTTTTAAACTTTAATAGCTTTCTTTACTTTTTTTGCCGTCCGTGGAGAGCATGGAGTCTTGGTATTGACAAGAATGTCATTGACAAGAATGTCATTGACAAGAATGTCATTTTCAAAACTCATGGATACGAATGTCATTGACAAAAAAGTCATTTTCATGAATGTCATGATAAGAATGTCTTTTTCATGTCATTGACAAGAATGTCATTGACAAGAATGTCGCTGACAAGAATGTCGCTGACAAGAACGTCATTTACTAAAATGTCATTGACAAACTTGACAATTTGTCATTGCCTCTCTTCCAAAATAAGACGAAGTGTGAGTGAGATTGACTAAATCATTTTGAATTTGATTCTGATATCACTTCTTGATGGTTATAATAATCATTGGAATTTAGTTGTGTGATTTTCACAAGTTTCACAAGTGTTTCCAAAAGCATAACTCCTTAAAATGCGGACAGTAAAATTTCTTCATTTCATTTTGGTATGCGTAATGTGGAAGTGTTAAATCTGGTTTTGAATTTGTTTTGGTAAATTTTCAAACTTCACTGTGTTTTACTTACTGTTTCCAATTAACAATGTATTTGAATACATGTTACATATAGCTCATTATTGTGGTCATTACCTTTCCTTGGAAATTGAAAAGAAAAATCTCATTCATTTTGTTTTAATATGACTGTTTAAACAAATCCCTGAAAATCATGCCAAATCATGTCCTGTCAATATAGTTTGCAAATAATCAGCCATTACAAAAGGCTTTCTTTCTGCCTACCCTACTTGACCTTTACTCCTGATATCAAATGCTTCCATGGAGTGACGACGACGACGTTATTGTTGCCAGAGATTTTTTGTTGAGGGGCGTTGTCTGTTTTGCTTGTTCTTTCTTTTGCAATGTGGGGCTGCAACAATTCACAGTGCCATCGAAGTGTGCATGGCAAGTAAGACAAATAACATACATGTAGTGCTGTTTTATTGGGTGAAAAATGCATTAACAATAATGTTGAGGTGCTTTGTGTGTTGTATTATATCTTTCAGTACCATACATGTAGTTCAGATATCCAAAAAATAATTCTTCAATACCGTGTGCATTAGAGGGGAAAAAAGCTGAATAAAGAGTGTTTAGATTGTTATTTTGACCGAATGATTTTTGAAGCTAGTCGATAAGTGAAAACATTAAAAATTAAAAATCTTACATAGATCGACATGTGTAAAGATAAGGTAAAAATCACATGTGATATGCGGTAAATAAATAAGTTTAAATTGGACTGAATTGCCACTAAGCAATCGTCTACATGTTCGTAGTTTGGGTTTGGTCGATGTAACCACTGTGGTGCAGATTTCCCACATATGTGCATGCTGACACAGCACACCTTTTGTATAATACACCCCTATACACCCTACAGTGTACATGTATGGACTGTGTTTGTTGTGCATGCACACGTGATACTAGGCGAGGTCTATCATAATAGATAAGGCCATGCATGTACATGTAGCTGCATGTACAAAGATGAATTGCACTAGGGCGTGGCAGTGTGGCTGTATTCATAAAGCTGCTTGGAGAATGCTCCACTGCACAGTCTTTATGCATGGAAAGCAGGGAGCATTACAAATAACCATGGCTCTGTATAGCAACCCAAACAATCACATGGATGGGAAAAACTACATTATTTTGGGTGTGTTTTATGATCAAACAGATTTTGTGAGTTTCAATTCACAGGCCTTTTGTTTTGTAAGTGAGCACAGAATTCTGCCTGAAATACTGAATATAGATGAGGATTCAGTGTAAAAATACGGAAGATGTATAATTCGCATCAAGGATGAAAAACCAATTATGGATGTGTAGAATGGGTGTGTACATGTACATGGTGGATGGAATAATTAAACGGTCAATCTTCCAAATGCATTATTCATGTGGTTGGCTGACAGTATGGTACACAAGGAGGGGAACTGACCTCATGAATAATTCAAATATATGTTACCAATAAAGGGATCTTCTCCAATGTGTTTCTTTGAGTGATTACAGGGTAGCATATTTTCCGTTACATTTTCAACTACAAAATGTGGAGTTGTTTAAGATAGACAGTGCGTATAAGATCAATAGAATCGGTCCAAAGGGAATCATTTGTGCAATTTGAAGTCAAACATGACTAAAATTGCCATGCCAAAAAAATGATGATTTTGGCTCTTTGAATAGGATATTTCCCCATTTCCAATGCCTCTCCACATCTTGCATATTATCCCTGCAGTTTACAATGTGTGCATATGGCATTTTTATGGGCTTATATAATGTTGTTTTTAACCTTGCACAGGTTTATTAATAATTATGACACTTACGTTTTTATGATAAGCAATATTAGGTTGGTCCAGATCATGACAAAAAGATACCTTCTCATATTATACAATATGAGGTTTCAATATTAACATTTTATTTGTGTCTGTCCAGTTTGACACAGTGGTTTCCTTTGCTTATGAAATGTCTTTGGAAATATGCAGGCCACAAAAAATGGATATTTTAAGCGGACTGTCACTCCTTAATTGAATTGAATAAAGATAAGAAAGATGCAAGATGTAACACACTCTTAGGTATACTTCCAAATTTTGTTGACATAAATGTTTCTGTCTCTGCTGTCTTTGTGAGTGTGGAATGGAATTCTGGCAAGTAATTAGAAGGAAAATTACATTAAAAACTCATTTCATTTCTTAAAATGATACTGTTTGGGAACATGAGATACTAATCTGTAATCACAATAAGAAATGTGTGCAAGTACATATTTAGTAACCTTTCGTCTCTTTTCTCTCTTTTCTCTCTGCAGATCAAGTGTACAATGCATGCGATCAGTGTATGAAAACGTTTTGGTAAGTTTCCCCACCAGCACTAACATGTTTTTTTCGCTTTGAAATTGACAACTAATATTCCAAAATACTTCCCTACCCTAATATTCCAAAATACTTCCTAACTCTAACCCTCCTAAATTCTTCAAAATCTTGAAGATTTTGCAGGATTGATGAAAGTACAGACCGGCCACAATTACAGAAGTTAAGTTTGTGCATGAATGTGTGCTCGTAGGACCTGCCTTGTGCCATGGGTACTTGCAAGAATGTCGGCAAAATGTGCGTTTGCAACACGCGTACAACTTCAGGCTTGCCGTATGCAATGCCAAACCAGTGATTTTGGTGTTCCTCGTAACAGGGAGAAAAAACCGAGCTGCATTTCTCAGTTTGATCAGAGGTCAAATTAACTACTGTTTCAGTGCTTGAGAAGATTATCTCAATAATTCATTAAACAGAAATATGTGTCAGTGTTTTCAACAAGTTTCATGTACACGGATTCTGTGAAATGGCTGCTCTTCTTGTCCGCATACATGAACGGGAATGCAAAGCTTCTAGTATGAGTTGCTGAACGCGTTAAACAAAATGCTTAGCTTAACCTGTCTATTACCTCACATGGGGTTTCGATGGCCCTTGAAAGTAAGACTCGGAAGAAACTTCTGTTGGTTTTATGGATTTTGGGAATTGGTTTTTCAGGCTTCACGGTATACGATGAATCCACTTGCCATCTCCAAATGTGATTGAACTGTTGGAGTCGATGTGTTGGCCTAACAGTAGCAAGACTTAAACCATTTCTTCCTCATAACTGGCTTCCATACACTTGTCAAAGTTACTACCCATGAACTTCCTCTAGAATTGCAGACCTCTATTAGCTTAAATTTATTTGGCCTTCAATCAGATTGATTTGATTTTCCCTGTCAATTATATTTCTTCCTGAACGCAAAACTTTATAACAGCCTTGCACATAATTCCAGCAACATCGGTTTGTTAAACGCGAACCCTTTTGCGTAATGAAATGGGTAACATTTTCCAATTACGCAAACCTAAACCCGCATGAGACCCGGTGCCACAATACGTCCTCGCTCGGGTTTCCTTCTAATTAGGTGGCGTGCTCCGCTCAGAGCGCCCTGACTTCCCCTACCCCTCCCCAACCCTCCACAAAAAAACAAACAGTAGCAGTGCGCAGGGCCACCCCACACCCTCGTCTGTTGGCATGGCGCCACACGCAACAAAGATTGCGTGCATTTGTCCCCAGCGCGTGCCCATCATGGGGCGATGAGGAGGGGGCCAATGAGTGGTCCGTGGAGGAGCACTCCACCCCCCCCCCCCCCTCCCTGCGCATTCAGGAAGGAAACTAAGACTGGATTCGTCAAGCCTCTCAATTAGAAACTCAACGTTTCCCCCGCTAGCAGGTCTCCTGACAGGGCCAGTTGTCGTGAAGTTGCCGCTCCACTGATACATGTTCCGCAGTATTCCCAACGGTGCCCCGCCATACACGTGGCTGTTCACTAGTCATTTCACTGGTTAACGCTATTTTCCTGTGATGCCTACCATCTGACCTACACCTGACCTCGCCCCATAGTCCCAGGTGGCCGCAGCCAAGAAACCCAGTACCTGGTTTGAGTTTAGCCTGACGCTTTGGGCTAGCATACCTATCTGTGGTAATTACTGTCAAGCTACTCTCCCAAAACCCCAAAGGCACTCTAAGTATGTGCTTGAAATTAAATTATGTGCTTTAAACATGGCACCCCAAATTAAAACCACGGCGATGAAATACATGGAGGGGAACAAGGATGTCTGACTTCTGAAGTTTCCTTCGTCTTGGTGTGTGTTTTCTTGCAAGTGCCTACATTGTATGCCTACTCTCATTAGGTGTGCGCTGCATGGTTGGTTTGAACCAAATTGGAAGTGACTTGTTTGATTGAATAAGATATCAATCCAACATGGAGAACAAAAAAAAATCACACTGCTTGTATCACGGTGTCAATCAGCGTGATTGGAAAAATACATTTACCCAAACCAGATGGCTGTAGAAAAGGAAGGAAATTCCTTTTCAGGTCTCGTGTCACAATGAGTTAAGTGTTACATTTGTATCAAAGTGACCAAAGGTTTTTGTTCAGTGAAGTCTCATAGAGTGTCTCAATTTCTTATCTGAATTTAAAGCCATTCTGAAATATCTAAATGCACTCTAGCGCCTCACAAAGTACATTTATATTTAATTGGCCGTATTGCAGTATAAAGACATCACACCCTGAACTTGCAGTGCCCAAACTCACATTTTCGATACATGTTTACACTGTACTTGCTTCTCTTTTGTGTGATTGCAGTAGGTAAAAACAATGTCCATCGCTTAGTCCTCAATACTGCCACAATCACCGAGTCAGGCAGCGTTTCAAAGCTTACGTTGACGGACTCCGTTATTTTTTTAATTGAGTACATATCGGTAGCTAGCCTACCACATGCTTACATGTATGCCACTTGTTGACCATGTACTATTCCGAAAGAAAAAAAAATCATCAGGACACTTAACAACTAGTGAAACCTCAGGGCTCGGAGGCCATTTCCTGTCCTCATTAAGTCTGCTTTCCAGCCTATAGTAGCTCTTAAACATAGGTCTGTAAATTGTCAAAACTTTATCTTCTCAAACATAACAAAACAAAAGTCCAAGTTTGCAGCTGATAGAAAGTGAAACTAGTGACGGACTGACTGACAAGCGTTTTTTTCCCCCCTCATACGTACCTCATTCCATTTTCCTCAATATTGTCAGCCTTGCCAGCCAGGATGCAGCGCATTTTAGATGCCACGACTACGGCCCGCAAGTACGCGAAAGCCTTTCATCAGTCGGATCAATCTGTTCACACAATTTGTTTTAAATTTAAGGAGTCTTCAAAGGGAAATCCCGAGTCAGAAGTAACTTTGCTCCAGAACAATTTTGACAGCGTGCAGATTCCACAAGGTGTCGATTTTGCTTTTGACGTGGTTGACGCCGCAGCTTATCGTGTTCACAATTTCCTGCTATTCTGTTAAAAAGAAGCAAACATTCCTACAGAAACAGACAGTATGTGATAGTCACTCAATGCATAACAGCTTGGAAAAACAATATCAACCTGCAATATTGCACTTTAAAGTTTCCAGGCAATGGAATTTCTTTTTAGCAAATAAAGTACACCTTTCGTGCAAATAAAGAAACATCTTGTTTGGTTCAAAGTTTTTTGGCTTTTAATATTTTTGTTCTCCATTTTTTAAACAATGTTTTGCTCTTTTCTGGCAACTGAGGGCGCTGTTGCTATGATGTCATTTCAGGCATTACTCTTTGTTTCGGAGATTCTCTGTACACAAAAGCCAAATTGTTACATGATGGAAGCATTTAGTACATGAAGTTTGCTTACTGACTGGCAGTCAGTACTTAATTAACAAAGAAACCAAAAGTGGGAGTTGACCACACAAAAAAAAAAAAAATATGCTGAAACTTGTGCCTACTCATGTCTATGGACATTTAGATTTTACTATGCTTCGATCAAGACCAAAACCTTCATCAAAAATAAGTGACAATTTTTTGTTCAAAGTATAGATTGACTGTGGGTAAATCACTAAGTTCTTATTGTCACTATCACCAGCTGTTTGTTTTATAAAATGACCGGATATCATTCATGACTCTCAAGAAGAGAGTTATATTGTTCGCCGAGGATGAATTTGCAAACGCGTCCAGTTTCCACGACGACCAACAGGAAATTATGTCTCTCGTAGCTCTCCCAGGTGCAGTGAGGGCCATTTTCCCACTTTTCTCTTTTTATAGAAAGGAGGGAGGGGGGGGGTGTTTGTTTTTGAGGGCAAATTTCAAAAGTATCAGAAGGTCGCTTCCAGGAAGCAGGCCTCTCTGAATCTTTTCAAGAAGCGTGACACTCCTGTCACTCATCACTCACCATTCTTATTTTGGAGGTGCTGCGGTTTGACCCCTTTTACTAAACCCATCTTAACCCCCCTCCCCCCCCCCCCCCTCCCTTCTTAAGTTCTTAACCTCTCCTAGTGTGCCCCTATCTTCTACTAATTGTTGGCTGGGAACTGGACACAAAACCAGAAGCATTCCATGTGACTTCACCCTGCTAATTTTGATGATACGGTACCTGTTGCATCTTGAGTTTGATAGTCAAACATTTCGGAAACAAGACATTTGTTTGTTGAAAAGTCATCTTTCTAATCATAATCGTTCATGATGCTGTGCAAGAACTTCAGACTTTGGGCGTATGGGCATGTTGCTGCTCAATGTGTGAAGTGTTTCCTTTCTTCATTTTTGCTATTATTTAACTGTGCCATGCCTATCACTATTCTGTCACGCACTGCCACACTAATTTTCCTAGTGAGCTCAGTAATGGCATCATGAACAACACATGTATCAATGCCTATAGATGTATGTACAAAAAATAGTTCATGACTATTGGTACCTAACACATCCCCTCCCCTAGATATCTCAAAAGAATTCCTGAGATACAGGGAACACAATGACCATCACAAAAGAGGGGGGGGGGGTGTTCCCTGTGGTTTCCACCTGTAACCTACCAGTACATGTACATGTAAGTAGGGACAATAGTGTTAGCTGTACTAGATGTTCTCATGTACATGTACGGTAGGTGACCCTGCCATTGAATTGTGCTCTTGGATGAGTTTCTAAAAGAAATTGACTTTTCGGCTCAACTCAGTGACAACTTGTCATTGTCTGTGGGGTCTTTGAAATTTTGCCAGTTTCAGGATCAGAGTCATCAGACTGGAACACGTTTTGGTTAAAGTTTACATTAGGAATGCCAAACGGTGTGACTGTATACATGGTACAGTCTAGCTTAATTGCACCAAGATGTACAGTTTGTGCATTCTTCATTTGCATACAATCATATATACTGGTAGCTGCATCCTGTCATTACAATTGGCTTATAGCCAATAACTTGTAGTACTACAAATCAAAATGAATGTAATTGCAAACGATTTTAAAAAAAACCTTTTCCAAATTTCCCAAAGCTTGACCAACATACACATTAATTTGACTGACCCCTTTTTAACTTTTAAATCCCAATTGGGAAAAACTGAGTATAGATGTAAAGAAGAAAACACCAAGTAAACAAGTTATCGGGCACACCATGGAGGAAGGAAAATGTACACTAGTACTGTAACACCAAGAAGTTCCAAGAGTTAAATCCTGCCGTAATTGTCTGATCGTTCTGTGTCACATGGGCCCAATTTCATGGCTCTGCTGCTTACGATCACCATTTGTGCTAACTGCACTAGCAGAAAAATTCTGTGCTAAACCCTTAAGCACAGAATCCTTAGTTATGGGATGTACGCATGCACTGAAGCCAAAATTCCTTGCTAACCCATGAAATAGACTTACTGTAAGCACAGAATTTTCTGCTACCGGTACGGTAAGCAGGTATTTTTCGCTAACGGTAAGCAGAGCCAAGAAATTGGGCCCAGTAAATATGTATGTTATCTATTATGATGGAGATGATTTCCTTCTGTCCCGCCCCATCCTGAGATACATGTAACAACACACGCATGTCCTTCCCAGAAAGAAAAGAACAAGTGGGGGAAAATGGGCCCAACCCTCGTCACTGCCTCTCAGTGGAAGGATACGCTGATTAGCGACACCTCACCCTCCCCCCCCCCCCCCCCACCCCTTACTGAGTAATTCAACTGACATCCTACATGTGGCATAAACACATATCTGAAATGTGTTCTGATATACTAGCTTTTTTTCTTCTTTTTTCTTAAAATTGTCTGCTCTTTAGGATGGCTGTTTTTCAAGCGTTGACATTTGGCAATAATATTTTTGCTAATTCTGGAGTGAGTCATGGCCAGGTCACTTGTACCTCTCTGGCTCGTATGTCAGGACCCCCAGTAGAGCCTGGCCCCTCCTTTCCAATTCTGCTTGCTAGGAGGCTCGTTTTCTGTGGCAGTTGGCACACTCAGTTGTGATTGGCTTTGCAATTTCAGAAATATTTACACGTAAATGTGAAACAAAATCACTCACAGTATAAAGTCATCCCTCTAAGATCCTATGGTAATGTTAGTTCAGTGCCTTGCACTTAATCTCAAAGTTGCTAAGTTACTGGAGTTAGATGTAGTTTACCATCCCTTTTTAGGATGTTGATCATATTTTGTTGAAATTTCATAATACATGTTTAGTTATGCACATGTATTCAGGACAAAATATTAGCCAAAGTTTGATTTGTCAGTGTCAATAGGCAGATTAACTCTTTGCTTGGGCAGTTTGTTTCCCCAAGATATTACTAGACAAAGAGAGGTCATCAGATTGATGTGAAAAAAAATAAGAAAAAGGGCACATTTCACTGTTTGAATTTAAAAAATGTATTTGATATTAAGGACAAGAAGAACCTTGTAAGTTTCTTGATTGTTTACTACACCAGTAGTATACTTTCTACTCCTCTTAAATATGAAAACTATTTTTCATCCCTTTTTTTCCAGGTTTGCATAAAAAAATACATTACATAGGCCTTTTAAGGGGAAACATAAATTGTTTTAAAGAATGTAATTTTCGAAAGAGCAAATCGGACTGTAGATGGAGCATGGGTTATTTCTTTAGTGATCAGTAGCGTGAAAACCACAAGACTTGGACCAGTTGGGTCACAGAAAGCACTAGACCGGCACTAAAATCACCAGACTCGGTCTAGTTGGTATTTTAGCCCAGGTACAAGTTTTACACCCAAATTTACACTCCTACCTCTATGGTTCCATTTATATTTGCCTGAGTAGCACAATAACTTAAATCTATAGTCAGGACAGCTTCTGCACAAACAGATTGGCAGCCTCACAGAATTGGGCTCATAACAAATACTGTCTGAAAGATGAACATCTTGATGAAATATTGGATTTTCAGCCAGCTGCAATTTAGATGTGACCACCCTTTGGCCTTGGCCCACATTTTCTTGTTATTGAATGGCAAAATACAGTAGACTCAGTTGCCACACTGTACATAACCCATTTTTTTAAAGTGGATGTGAAATACCATTCTTTGACATTTTTAAATAAAATATCTAGTTGTAACTAACACTCTTGAATGCTATTCTTCACTGCATACATTTCACTGTTGTAGTTGAGTCTATCACAAGTCATCCAGTCCTAAGTCAAGAAACAAGCTCAATGTATTTAAATGAACTATGTCAAAAGTATTCCTTTGTTATTGTTCATCCCCTGTTACTTGTCACTTAACCTGTAACAAGGCGTTTGATTTAATACTTGCAGCTGTACTTGTCATGGACTCGAGTTCAATACTCATTCATTTTTGGAGCACTTGCCTCAAGTTTGTTTTATTACTTTTAACTTCAGACATGTGTTTGTAATTATCTGGCAGAACTAACGCTATGCTTCAAATTAAAATTTCAAAACCTCTATTGTTGGTAGCAGACAAAGTATGATGGCATACACTCTATACCTATATACATGAAGTGGTGCAGCGCTAGTTCACGGTAGATTAAGCATTAGCCCAGTTACACAAACTCAACATGTATGTATGAATGCCAACTTCTGGGCCATTTTTTTTCCTGTGAGTTGATACTGCATATCCTTGTAGTTGAGGGTACCCGGTCAGGGGTGTGTTAGCCGCAACAAAGCACCACCCTTGACAGATAGGTAGGGTTGGGCAGCATTGTGTAAAATGGCCACTGAAAATATAACGTTTGTTGTCTGGGCCAATCGTTTCCAGTACGAGCATTGTGGATTTTATGGTACAGCGCACATGCAACGTCAACAGGTACTTTCAATTTAGTTATGGTTTTGGGAGTATTGCTTTGATTTAGTGTTCATATAGATTATGATTATAGGCAACATTGAACTTTGTTGCAATATATCTCTTTCACTTTAAAAGGCCACAGGATACACTCACAATTTTTTAAAGAACTTTTTGTTGTCATCAGTAGGCAGCAAACAAATTTGATTTTGCAGAAAGGGTTGGTTTCCCCATTCAGGTTCACTCAACCAAAAAGTGTGGAATACTGTGAAGTCAGGGGGCAAATGTGCAATTGCACTTACCATTCAAACTTCACCAGTTTCCTTGATCAGAGTGTTCAAAACGAAACTATCACAGCAGTACAATGTGATGCTATGTGCGCAACGGAATACCTAGGGTGGGGCATGGTGGGCGAGTGCTAGAGGCACCACTAACGTTTACAATGTACTGCAGTACTTGTGTTAGCATCCGAATGGACTATCTCATGTATGGTCATTTTATGCGGAGGCCGTATTTTCAGTTGTATCCCTTCTTCAAACATCCACAGGGGTATCCTTACACGTACGTATATGCCTGCATAATTTAATAATGTGGGTGGGTGGGTGGGTAAATTATTCAGGTGATGTTGCAGTAGGTGTAAAGCTGCCGTGTGATTAGCATAAGTCATCTCATCTCATATTGGATGATGGTGTCAATTCATGTTTGCAAGTATACTATAAAGTAACATTTTTAATTAATGGTTACCCACCCTCATGCCCACCCTACCACCCAACCCACCATTACCCCTCCACCCTTAATTCCACCCATCTACTCTGCCCAACTACCATCCTGTACTTTCTCTTTAACCCACACACCCCAACCCATTCACCCTCACCAACCCATTCACCCTCACCAACCCATTCACCCTCACCAATCGACTTTCCTAACTATCAATCCCAACCATCCATCCATCCTCCCAATTATCCACCCATTTTTCCTTTAACCTACCCAACCTCACACCCATCCACCATCCCCAACTATATGTACACCCCCAAATTCCCTTTGAACATCTTCCATGTACCCCCCCAACCCCACCAATCCACCCTGAAAATATCCACCCTCTTGTCCCTTCAGTCCACCTGGTAACACCCATATCCACCCAACCCACCTACATGTACCCAGCCATCTTCCCTCTGTGTGCTTCCCCTGTTCAACCTATGCCCCCCTCCACACTGCCCATCGTAAGTTTTTCCATTTAAACTTTGCAAAAGTAAAAATGTCCAATTAAATCAATGATGGGTATATTTAAATCGAAAATGACTTAACTTTTATTATAATTATCCTGTTCCCCTCATGTTATCTATGTTGCCAATATAATCCAGGTGCCAAGGATCAGAAGGAAAACTTGCATCGACCAACTTTTCCCGGTTGAGTATATTTGTAAAGACATAATGCAACCTTTTGTATTGAAGCGTCTTATTTTTTTTATTTTTTTTTCAGTGACAAGCACGTTGCAAGTAACGAGCATCCATGCTTTCACACCGGACCAAATACACAAGTGAGTTTACCAACATCATCGTTTAGTGCAGAATTTAGTTTATCATCAGGTTATCTTCACACTGTAACAATTTTTTTACACATGCACAAAAAAGTTGCTACAATCCATGTACTTGAGCACCTCGGGCCAATCAGACTACAGGAAAGGCAGAATCATCCAGGTGCATAGCAACCAATTAGGGTATTGCCTGTCCTTGCATACCTGTATGGGGTCAGGTCAGCAATCTAGGAAGGTGTCAGCGTCTTAGACAGAAGTATTGGTCCTTATGATTTGTGATTCATATCCTTTGAATTTCCATGCTGCATAAATATGTATTATGGGAGTCAATTTTCATGCTGATCCTGCAAATTCTCAGGTAATACTGGTAGTTTGGGAGAGACATGGTCTGTCTGGTTTGATTTCATTTGTAGGAAAATCTCCACCTGTCACGTGGGTCCAATTTTAATCCTGGGATTTAAGTTCATTAGTGGCTCCCCTTGGAACTGTGTTGATATCGTTTATCGGCATTTACTTGTATTGTTTTTCCATTGAATATCTGATGCAGGTAACCAGGAGCAAGATGCGGGGCAAGGGAGCAACTCAACAGGAAGTAAGTTAATGGATAGAAGAATGGAAACAGTCTTTGGGAACAGGCTGTCTGTTTCCCAAAGACTCTGGCAAAGGTTCGTGTATCGGTATGCTTAATTCTGGATAGATTTGTTGTTGAGATAACTAGTGGGTCGGACACAGTTGTCGGTAGCTTAAACATGGACTGTGTCAAGTTAAGCCAGCACGGCTACAAAACAACACGCGACTCGAAGAAACATTTCATGAGATGCTACCGCAAAGTTTCACTTCTTCTGGGCAAGAGTGTAATGTTGCACATGTCGCATGAAAATATTTCGGATATGAAGCAAATTGCCCCGTCTTTTACTCGCGGTTGTTCAGGCAAGTATTTCCTTTGATTTCTTAATCCCAGGGTGTTTGGTAACATTTATCCCCATGTCCTTGAGACATTGGGTAAATGTCCACACTTTACATGTAGACTTAGCTGCACTGACTGCCTATTGGACACCTTGTATTTTAACCACAAAACCTGTGGACGCCTATGTTGTCATTTCCTGGCTTATACCTTGCTTATTCACAACTTGTAACTTCAAAACAAACCGCAAAGTACCACCCATACACTTTGCAAAGTTCACATACTCACTGAATAGACTCCCCGGCCTCTCTTTTCCGGCCATTGACCAACCCTCAGGTAAGTTAAAGTTGCACGGTCCCAGCTCTTCAACAAATAATTTTGTTTTCCCCGTCTGTTACCCTTTGAAAAAAAGCTTTTGTTTTGGTTCGCTTTTCATGGCAAATAGATCAATTCTTCTCCCCATATTATCGAATCTAAAAGGGGGCGGGAACCAGTCTATGCTGCGAGAATTAATTATTATTGGGCTGCAATTTTTTTTCATTTAAGTACTATTTCAGTCAATGTCTAGTTAAAAATGAATCTTAAGTTGTATGCACTAGAAAAACATTTTGAAAGCAAAATTATTTTTCGGGGTGAATTTGGACAGTACATGTTGTAGGGACATTATATCTTTCATACCGAATTCCTGTCAATCTGCATGTTGGAGTCTCCAACAGCGTTTACGTATATGTACCTTTTGCCGTAAAAGTTGAACAATAGTTCATATTTGTAAATAATGAAAGTACAGAATGTAGTTTGGATTAGGGCATGGTGACTAAGTTTTCAAAACAAGACTGCAGGGCAATTTTGGGTCAGTCACACATGTGTTAAGTTGCTCAGGCTCTTCAGCAGATGATCCAGCAATCTTTGTGAAATGCAGCAGTAGTAATCACAATTAGTAGGATTAACTCATTCCTGTAATCAACTGATTATAAATCCTTGGTATGTTTTTTATAGGACAGCAGACTTATTTTGATTTCACCAACTTCTCCAAATAAACACAATCGGGAAGTGACAGGCACAACAAAGATTTTGTCCAGCATACAGGAAGCACGGGTTCTGTTAAGGATGTGACAGATAGTCTGTTCTCTGTTATCACGCTGAAACCTTTCCACTGATAATAATTTGGATTCCACTGTGGTTGTGAGCGGGCGTATATACTGAAAGCAATTTGAGGAAGCGATTGTTCTGGCGTGGAAGGTTTTGAGGTCAGAGTGTACTGTAGGAGGCATTGTTTGTGGCTGTTACCATGATTGGCCCTGTCAGCCAGAATCATGACGCCTCGCTAAATGGGTCTAGTCTGACTAGCACGGTTGACTTGTTTCGAATATTTGGCATTTAGTCCGTCAAGTTTTTCAGAAACGAACCTTGACCTTCTTTTAGCATATAGTTTGTCTACCTTGTTCATAGATGAAAGCAAGGTTATTCCCAGTTCGTCATTCATAACTTTCCTTTAAGAAAAACAAACTATTTCAACATATTTCAACGCAAGTGTGCAGTACAAAAGGCAATCCATTTTTAAAGTTGATGAAAGAATGTGAAGAATGTTGTCAGTCTGTGTTAGGTTTGCATTGTGCATGTTTCCTTGTCAACTATTTGAATATGCATGATTCATGCACGACGCAGGCTGAAAACGGGTAAGATACTAAGAACCAGATCCTGAATTGTAATTTTCTACCAACAGTTCATGATGAGTGCAAAATGTTGTCCTTGTAAGCCAGGTGTGCAAAAAAGAAAAAGAAAAATGATGTAGTTCAGCCAGACGGAGGACCTGCCTAATTGGAGGAAACATGCGATGAAAACACTCAGGCTGCTACTTCCCTCTTATGCTAATGGTCACTTATCCCTGTAACACGTAGTTGGGGACGGCACGGCGCTGAGCCAAAAAAAGAAAGTCGCAGGGACCGAAACTGCCGGCCAGCACCTTGAGCTGACACATGTAGTTGTTGCATGGAAAGGTCACAGAGGGTCTTGCTGCTTTGGTATGGGTCAGAAGTATTCCCAAGTGCATTAAAAGTGAACTCATATTTCAGAAGCATAAGTACAGCATACACTTCCTTTATCAAGTTTCATCTCTTGCAGCCTTTAATGCTTTGACTAGATGATGGATGAAAAGAGCTTACCTGCTTGTAAAATCATTTTTCATCAAACCTCTTGGAGGTAATTTTGTTTTTTTCCAGTCGGACTGTTTTCAAATTTGAAATATTGAAAGTGATGGCAACTTGTAACCAATATAGTCTGACGAGTGTCCTGTTTACTTGCAAGGAGTCAGTTCACAGAAATCCTGCATTAGCCTCATCAACAACATGTTATCAATTATTGCTCTTTCTTTCTGCCTCAGAGGAGGGTTGAGAGTTTTGAGAATTGTCTTTGAGTGGGCAAATATCATTGGACAGGAAGGGGAATTTCCCAGCCGCGGTAATCCCACAGCATTTGAGAGTGATGCCCGGTAGCAGCTCCTCTCTGCCACGAGAAATGCCGCTTAATCCACCTGATTCTCGGGATAATCTTGCCTGTTGCCGAGGAAGCCTCATGTTTGCTAAACGGTTCCTGCCCTGGAGCCTACTAGCTCCCCTCTCTCTCTTTTGACAGCCTGCAGACATACCACTGTTCACACGCTACCGTTACAAAATTTCCCTGGCTTTACAAACATTCTGCCAGAGTGATTTTGATTAAAGTAAACTGGCTTAAGAGTTGCTGGGGGCCGAGCGGGGGGCCGGAGAGGAGCGCGGTGACGCCAAGTTTTTGAGTCACCATCCTTTTGGAATCTAACTAATCTGGCTTGTAGTAATTGAATCAAATTTGCATTTTTGGAAGTTCAAACTTGGATGTTTTACTAGGAGAGACTTCCAAAATTGCACTAATTTGCTGCTGTATCTAATTTTTGGAAAAAATGTCTTCAGGACAGGAAGTTTAGAATAAAATGTTCAGCATATATCATTGATAAAAAAAGTATAACAAAGTAATGTTGAAGATGAAGAGTTTTCTTGAAATATGAATAATTCTTCAGAAGTTTTGGCCTATTGCTGGCTTGTGCATAGCCATAACCATAAGAAAACCTGTGTAAACATTTCTACTGAAATATTATTTTCTGCAGAAATAATAATTATTTTAAAAACACTGCACAAAGTTTTCTGAAGTCTTGGAATTTCCCCCTTTTTTTGACTTTACTGTTGTTTTCCTGTGTTGTGTTCTTGTGTCATATGCATTATGGACTCACTGACTGAACCACTTTGAGTTGGTGTGTTCAAAAGTGCTGTCTTTTGAAGGCAACATCCAGTCCTCTCACAGATGACACCCATCGTTTGCCATACATTGTCTAGCCCCAGGGTCTTGAGGGGTTAGACTCAAAGAGTTCTACAGTGTCACAAGAAATTGGTGGGGGAAGATGTGTCAGCTGCCTGTGCGAGTACCACGGTTCAAAGAGTCAACTGTCGCGCCCCGAAACCTGCCCCTTGTCAGGCTACGCAGTTTTACGCATGATGCCAATTGGGCCCAAGCGAGAGGACAAGCCTCCAGACTGTTATTGTTTTGCGGGGTGATGGTGCTAATGCCGCCAATCAGCGTGACTTTGTCACCAGCGGATTCTCATTTGGCCATCCTCACACGACTGTTTCGTGTTTGTGTTTGCTGCACATCCTATTTGCCGAAAACATGCCTTTAACAAGCTTTTGAATATTTTAGTTAATCAAGAATTGCAGTTATTACATCCGTATGAAAAAGTTCCATATAAATCTGTTGATCTGAGTTGTTGCAATTTCCCCCCCCCTTTTTTTTTTTACTGATACTCTTCTTTGTACCAGATGTGTGGCTTCGTGTTACACATTGTCATGCACTGTGCGTTTTTGAAGTGGTATTCCCAAATGTTTTCCACCATCTTGAAAGCACACATAGGGCAGCTCTGTGAAAAACAGTTGTCTGATCGTAAGGTTTAAGTTCACTTCAAGGAACTCTCCTCCCTTGAGTGCCAGCCTGCATCCTCCTTGGGACATATGAAGAGTTGTAGACAGCCTCAGGTTGTCATGGAGAATTAAGGTGATGCGGATGCTGTAAGTCTGGGGACATGACTGTCACTAGGCAGTTTTGCGAAACGTAACAAAGCTTGACTGGTGCTGAAACCATGCATGTGAGTTTTGTAGATGAAGGTACTTTTCAAGAACTGAACATTTCAAGTTAAAAAAAAAATGCATCAAACAGCAAATACCTTTAAAAACTACTACCAATGTGTACTTCATCACTTGGCAGTTGGAAATTCATTTCCTCCGTGAGTTTCGCAATGTCCATCTGGAACATATTTGTATCTTCTTCATAAAAATGATTCATTTCCACTCGGAGATGTGTAAAAAAAAAAGGGATTATTTGATATAACCGTAAATTTGACTGTATAAATGGCTGTGATCAATCAATTAAAAAGAATGCATGCGTGTATGTAACATTTCCTTTCCCTGAATTGCATCTGTTTGCTTGACTTGGTTCCTTACGTTTCCTGTCTTAAGATTAGCATCTCACTCTGGTGCAAGGCAATGAACAGTGTGTGCTGACAGATTGGAATCAGCATTTTCCTGCTATCAAGGTGGGTTTTTGAAGAATTTTAACCGGGGTTGTCAAGTCCTAAAAAAACATAGACCTCCATTTTTGCGACTGTCATC